TGGGCGGAGGAGAACACAGATCAGGGAGTGGTCCTGTCCCCCTTTCTAGCCTTCAACATGCTCGCTCCCTGGACACCTCGGGTCCCACCTTCCAGTCCCACCTGCCCTGCTGGTCTCCTGTCTTCCTCCCAATCCCCGGAGCCCAGCCTGCCGATCTGCACCCTAGCCCCAACCCCCAGCACCCGCCCAGGACACCTCAGCTCCCTCAGCACCCCCCAGCACCCTGAAGTTCCCCCCAGGAGCCCGCAGGACTCCCAGGACCCCTCAGCTCCTCCAGGACCCTTCAGCTCCCCCAGCATCCCTAGCACCTCCCAGCACCCCGCAGCACCCCCAGGACCCCCCAGCACCCCGCAGCACCCCGAGCACCCCCAGGACCGCCCAGCACCCCGAGCACCCCCCAGCATCCCGAGCACCCCCAGGCACCGCCTCCCCTCCCCTCGGTGCGGGGCGTCCGCGCCTCCTTTCCCCCCGACCGGAGCCGGGGCCCCCCTCCGAGCCGCTCCCCCGTCCACACAGCCCGCAGCCCTCCCACCTCGCGTTCCTCGCGGCTGAGCCTGCACCCGACTCGGCTCACACCCCACCCGCGCTCAGCGCCCACGCCTCTCCCCGGCCCTCCGCAGACCCACCCGGCGTCCCCGCACCGCCAGCCCCTGGCTGCCGGGCCTTCACCTTGATCTCCTCCACCCGCCGGGTCAGGCGGCTGATCCGAGTGCCCAGGTCCTCCTTCTCCAGCCTCCCCGAGTGCGCCAGGACCTCCGTCACGAAGGAGGCCATCGCCGCGCCCGGAACCGACAGCGACCGGGTCACTCTCCAGCCGCCAGCGCAGCAGCAGCCCGGGCCCGCCGGCGGCGTGGGCGCGCGGACTGCCGGGAAACTGAGTCTCGAGCTGCCCAGACCGCCGCTCGGAAGGTGCGGCCGCACTACAACTCCCGGCAGGCACCGCGACTGTCCTAGCGTGGAATTTCCACGGTGTCCCGTAGTTGGCAAACTGGGGAAGACGCGTTTCCTCCCTGGTGGTTTTCAAATAGTCTGTCGTTTCCCGCCAGTTTTTCCCCTAAAAGAAGTGAAATCTTTTTACCTAAAAACCGGCCGTAAATGAACCTCTCTCAACTTCAGAGCGTTTACCTGTGAAATGTATCCAGCCAGACTACCCGAGGAACGCACTTTGATCTTTTTTTTTTTTGTGAAATACTCACCTTCGAGGGCTGCAGCGTGCGTCAGAGTCCCCATGAACAGTGCCCTCTGGAGGTGTGCAAAGCAAGCGGCATCACCCCGCAAATGAGAGTCTAAACTGCACTCCTTTCGTGTTGCAGAGTTTACAATGCAATCTAAGTACGTAGATTACGTAATCCATGCGCAGATTACTACATGTGTATCTGTGTGACAAATACACATGGATTTTTTCTATGTGATACATTTTTATATTAACATTATTTCTATTACCTAAGCATAAATATCATTAGAACTGTGTAGACTAGAACAAGATACTTGACACCTTCTGACATTACAAATCGACTTTACCAAAAGTTTTAAAAAATTGTTTCTTGTTTACATGTGTTACATACTGAAAGATATTCACAATATACTAGGTACATGGTGATTCTTTTTTTAAGATTTTATTTATTTATTCATGAGAGACCCAGAGAGAGAGAGACATAGAGAGAGAAGCAGGCTCCATGCAGGGAGCCCGACGTGGGACTCGATCCAAGGACTCCAGGATCAGGCCCTGGGGGCTGAAGGCAGGCGCCCAACCGCTGAGCCACCCAGGCGTCCCAGGAATGGAGTGATACTGCTACACACTCACAGTCCATGCCAACATGAATGAATGAATATTTGAATAAATAAAAAAATAATAAAATGAATGGCTTCTGTTTTCCCTCACTAACTTGATCTCCTACATAGTTCACAGGTTTTTATGTCTCTCAACTCACAGATTTTCACAAATTGTCAAGAAAGGGCTCTGAAAGGGTCACCTGTGTGGCTCAGTCAGTTAAGTGTTCAACTCCTGATTTCGGCTCAAGTCATGATCCTAGGGCCGTGGGATTGAGCCCTGAGTCAGGCTCTGCTTCTGCTTTTTTTTTTTTTTTTTTTTTTTTTTATGATAGCCACAGAGAGAGAGAGAGAGAGAGAGAGAGGCAGAGACACAGGCAGAGGGAGAAGCAGGCTCCATGCACCGGGAGCCCGACATGGGACTCGATCCCGGGTCTCCAGGATCGCGCCCTGGGCCAAAGGCAGGCGCCAAACCGCTGCGCCACCCAGGAATCCCTGCTTCTGCTCTTAAAAGGGAGTCTGCTTGAGGTTCATTCTCTTTCTTTCTCTCTCTCTCCCTCCCTCTGCCCCTCCTCCTACCATGCACTCTCTCTTTCTCAAATTTTTGAAAGAGAGAGAAGAAGAAAGAAAGAAAGAAAGAAAGAAAGAAAGAAAGAAAGAAAGAAAGAAAGAAAGGAAAGAAAGAAAGAAAGAAAGAAAGAAAGAAAGAAAGAAAGAAAGAAAGAAAGAAAGAAAAGCAAGCTCTGGAGAAAAGGCAGGGGAATAAGGAGCAGCACCGGGAGGAATTTCTCCTGACCTATCAGAGCTCATACACATGTGGCATGCCTGTACATTCAAGAACCAAAATAAAAAATGCAAACCTGGATGAATATAGTACAACCAGACAGCATTTCCAGGGATGCATAATATTTTGCCCCTGTGTTGATTAGAACATGTGGTTGTTACAAAAGCAGCAGAAGGAGCCTACAATTTGAAAGAGCCCCCCATTTTGCTTCAAAACAGTGTGGAGGGAGGGATGCAGATAGTGGTTGTGGGCATGGATGAAATAAGATTGGTATGTGTGGATAATTTCTGCAACTCGGTGGTAGGACATGAAATTTCTTTTTCCATTTGCTCTACTCTTGTACATATTTGAAATTTTCTACAATAAAACATAAAAGGAAAACAAGGGGGGACATCTGGATGGCTCAGTAGTTGAGCGTCTGCCTTTGGCTCAAGTCATGATCCCAGGGTCCTGGGATCGAGTCCGCATTGGGCTCTCTGCAGGGAGCCTACTACTCCCTCTGTGTCTCTCATTAATAAATAAATAAAATCTTTTAAAAAGGAAAAAAAGGGCCTTCAAGATGATTCTGGTCACCTCCCTGCACCCCCACACCACTGATAATCTGATCAGACTGTATTGAGACATCATGCAGGTAAAGTCAAGGTCATGTTGTCTTAGATCCTTCCTCCCTGCTTCCCCTCCCCACGCCCCTGCTTCCACTTCGTAGGGCACCACAGGATAATTAGGAGGTTAAAATATGAATAGAGGGCTCCACTGGTCAACATTTATGTCTTTGTTAGAAGAGATGTCAACTTTCCTCTGTGTTTTGCTATAAAGATGAACCCTTCCCACATGCTGTGTCACCAGGGTGCAGGCACAGTGCAGAAGAAATCTCTGCGGCAGCCTGGAGACCACAACACGAAGTGACAATCTGAAACCCCCCGGCTCAGGAGCTGGATCCATTGCTTACCATCTGGGGGACCTTGGCACATGACCTAACATGTATCTCGCAGTGGTGGTGTGAAAATTAAATAAGGACAAAGTATCTAGTCAAAGTCTGGCACTTAGCCATGCTCAGTAAATGCAAATTATTTCCTTTCCTGTCGGAACGCGCTTCTTGGCAACAGCAAATAGGAATGAAAGCAGGCCTGAGTACCAGTTACTCTAGCTACTACTGCCCTTCAGCCGCAGGAGGATGGGGAGGGAGCACTACCCTCCTGGTAGATCCTGGGTCTGGACAGGTTCCTTGGATGGGGCATTTTCCATATTTTTTCCTGCTTACAAAAATATTAACTTGTAAAATGTGTCAAATACATATGCAATCACAAGGAAATAAAAATTATCCATAATCCTTCCACTAAGATAATCATGGTTCACAGTTTGTGGTAGATGATATGTATTTACATAGATATAAATATACGCTCTTTTTTGAAAGTGAAATTGTACCCTACATACTCTAAACACTGGTCACTTGCCTGTCTCACTTAACAACGCGCCAAGAATATTTTTCATGTCATTGAAATTTCTTCTACGTCACTTCAAAATAGCTGCCTAGTGTTAACCAAAATGTATAATCATCAATAATATCTCCACATTTTCATGATCTTTGTATATATTCACAATAAATTAGTTAACTTTCTAGAGGTAAGTTAGTGGGTCAAAGTATATTTAAAAGTATGGAATATAATGGTACACCTGGGTGGCTCAGTGGTTGAGCATCTGCCTTCAGCTCAGGTTGTGATCCTGGGGTTCCCTGCAGGGAGCCTGCTTCTCCCTCTGCCTCTCTCTGTGTGTCTCTCATGCATAAATAAATAAAATCTTTAAAAAAATAAAAATGAAAGTATGAAACATGAGAGCTGCCTGGGTAGCTCAGTTGGTTAAGTGTTTCACTCTTGATTTTGGCTTGGGTCATGATCTCATCAGGGTGCCGGGGTTGAGCCCCACATGGGGCTCCGTGCTCATCAGGGAGGCTGCTTGAGGATTTCTCTCCCTCTCCATCTGCCCCTCCTCTCTCTCTCTCTCTCTCTCTCTCTCTCTCAAATAAGTACATAAATCTTAAAAAAATTAAAATATGAATTATGAAATCATGTTTCCCTCCAGAAAGGTTACATCAGTATGTATTCCCAGGATATCATTCTCATCTTAGAATTGGGGAGTGATTTTACCTTCAAAATTCATTCCTTTTTGAATTTACTCATCAAATAGATATTGATGGCTTACTGTCTGGCCTTTTTTGCCTCTCCCGGGGCCCTCCTCCACAACCCACGCCCACATCCCATCTTGGGCACACCCCCAAACCCAACATTGCCAAGTTCCTGGCACCTGCCTCAGCTGCTGCCTAAAAACTGAAACAAGAGCCCTCTCCAAATGTGAATGACCTTCCACTGGACCTCCCCAAAAGTACTGCCCGCTAACCAGTCACCAAGCCACCTGTCCTTCGCTTTCTGCGACTGTAGTGGGAGCAGCCATGGCCTGGAGTTTCCGCGAGAAAGCCCAGCTTGGAGGGCTGCTCCTCTCTCTCCTCGGCTGGGTCTGCTCCTGTGTCACCACCATCCTGCCCCAGTGGAAGACTCTTAATCTGGAACTGAACGAAATGGAGACCTGGATCATGGGGCTTTGGGAGGTCTGCGTGAATCAGGAGGAAGTTGTTGTGTGCAAGGCCTTTGAGTCCTTCTTATCTCTGCCCCAGGACTTCCAGGTATCCCGCATCCTCATGGTAGCCTCCCATGGGCTGGGACTCCTGGGGCTTCTGCTCTCTGGCTTTGGGTCTGAATGCTTCCAGTTGTACAGGAACAGATGGGTATTTAAGAGGTGGCTTTGTCTCCTGGGAGGGACTTTCGAAGCATCCGCTTCAGCCACCACCCTCTTTCCAGTCTCTTGGGTGGCCTACGCCACAATCCAAGACTTCTGGGATGACAGCATCCCTGAGATTGTGCCTCGCTGGGAGTTTGGAGATGCCCTCTACCTGGGCTGGGCTGCTGGGATTTTCCTGGCCCTTGGCGGGTTGTTCCTCATCTTCTCAGCTTGTCTGGGAAAAGAAGAGGAGTCCTCTCTCCGGATGGTTGGTCCTACAGCCCCACCATTCTATGCCCCAGCAGATAGGTCCAGTGACTCCTTCTATCTAACACCAAGACCTAGGAACCTGTTCATCTAGGACCGGCCTCCTCCACGGAATCTCTGGAATAAAGGAATGTTAGAAGAATCGTTTCTCCTCCTTATCCTTCACCACTCTACATTTATTTGCCTCCTTTGGGGGTGGTAGTCACTCTCCCTTTTGTTAAGGATTTGTCTATCTTGGTGATACAGTAATTCATAACTTCAGAATGAAAAATCAAGGCGGAATTTCTGACAAATGTGTTTTTCTCATTTAGATTTTACTTGTATAAAATGTTTTTAAACTCATAACATTAATTGTATACCTGATTCATTACTAAATATATTGCAAAATTGCTTCTATCATAGGAAAAACCTAGTGTGACCAGCCACTGTATATATAATGCTATGGGGCACCTGGGTGGTTCAGTAGGTTAAGCATCTGCTTGTGGCTCAGGTCATGACCTCGGGGTCCTGGGATCAAGCCCCGAGTTGGGCTCTCTGCTTAGCGGGGAGTCTGCTTCTCCTTCTCCCTCTGCCCCTCCCCCCTATTCGTGCTCTTTCTCAAATAAATAAATAAAATCTTCAAAAAAATTCTGGAGAATATGTCTTGGCAAATGAAAACGAACTATTGGTCCAGGATAATACCTTGAGAGGAAGCTTCCTTGTGTTTATTTTCCTCCTCAGGTACACAATTTGAAGGGGGGTTTCACAATATATCTGTGTGGTTTTGTAGATTCTTACTATCCCAGAAGGGAAGATATATTCCCCTTTCTGCTATATTATGAGGTTGTGAGTGGTCAGCTCTGTCTTCCCAGCATGAAGTTAAGAAACAGTGTGAATGAGAAGTAGGGTGAGCAACTGTCCTGGTTTGCCCAGAACTGGGCACTTTCCGTGCTAAAGCTAGGAAAGTCCCAGGCAAACCCGGGCAAATCAATGACCACCAAATGGCTGTGCCCAAGAAGTGCCCAATGTGTGTGGGTGGGTGTGTGGAGAAAATTAGCAGTTTCTCAGAAATGTCTTTTACCTATGCAAAATGACGTTATAAATCTTTTAAAATGGAACTCCAACGTCAGCAGATCTACCCAGGCAGTGGCTACAAATAAAGTCCCCTTCATGACCATGATCCAAGTTCCTTTGCTTGTCCCACCTGCTCTGGCAGGCCCTCAGACTGACTACCTCACCCCTAGGTCTTTCTCAGGCATTTGTGCAAGTCCTCAAGGAGAAGCCTCATGCTTACTCATAAACCTGTGGGTCAGCTGAAATCACCATGCATTACCCACCCTGTTCCTCTCACTGCCATCTGTCCCCCACTCCCTTAACCAGTCGATAGAGTTGACAATTCCTATAGGAGAAAAAAGGTGCTGGCTCCCAATGTCCCCAAGCAGGTCACTTCACCAAGTTCAGAGGCATGCCAGATTACTTGCAGGGCTGGGGAAACGCCTTTCCCTCCAAGTCGGTGCTTTCCCTCCAGCCTCACGGGCTGAGCTCTGAGGCAGCACTGCTTGTTCTCCATCAAGTAGCCCTGGCATCTTCAGATGGCTGCTGCTCAAGCAAGAATGCACACACCAACACAAGTATACATAAGTTTGCCAGCATAGGCCAAGCCAATTCCCTCCTTAGAGAAATAACATGAGTTTTTTGTTGTTTTCCTGAGAAAATGAATCTTTTCAGGTGCAATTTTATCTCCAGCAACGTTTACCTTCTTACACGGAGTGGGGTTCTCTCTAGGAGTCATACTTTCTCCAGATGCATGTCCTTAGGTCTATGTCCACTTGATGTACACAAGCCCAAATGTATCTAAGTCCATGACCTTAGATAAATAAATTTCTGAGCATAAAAGGGCAGTTTGCACCAAAGTCATATTCTGGCTTTCTACGGTTCCAATGCCCATTTTGTTAACTACTCCCTCTCAGGAATGAGGCTCAAATACCCAAGAGTTACACTTGAATCGCATGGGATCTACAGGATGGACTCATCATTCATCCATCTGGTCATTTATTCATTCACTTAACAAATGCACTAAGCACCTACCATATACCCAGCATTGTGATAGGAACCAGGAATAAAATGGTTAAAGACAAAATTTATCCCCCCCTCCAATACAGGCAAATAGGGGAGACAAACATTAATATGAGATCATTTGCTAAAGGGAGATTGTAACCATGACAAACTTTACGAATTTGGAAGGGTACATGCTTCTATAAGATCATGCAATTGGAGAAATTGTAACCTAGTCAGGGAGTCATGGCTGGATACCCTAAGGAAGTGATAACTGGCTAAAACCTGAAGGATGGAGAGCAGTTCTGGAAGGAGAGGAGTGTAGAAGGCAAGGTTAGTGAGGTAGGAAGGAGCCAGATCTTGCAGAACCTGTGGATCACATTATGGAGCACTGTCTCTATTTTTGGGACCACAGGAGGCCGAGCAGGTGCCCAGGAGTAGGAACGCAGCTCCCAGGTGACCACAGCTCTACCCACTCCCTCTCCTCTCATACCTCATCCCCAGTTTCCCCATTACACAGTTGTGTAGGGTTTCAGAGTTTATATAACATCTTCATGTATCTTGGTAGCTTTATTTAACACATCATGAGAGTTGTTTTTGAGGTTGGGAGAGCAGATATTATTTGTTTTGCTAAAGAGGAAACAGATTGAGAGCATTTGGGCAACATGCCCACAGTGAGTCATTAGCTGATCACAACTTGAATCCAAGGCTTTGATGCCAGGGCAGTCTTTCTTCACCACATCCTATTGCTTCATGAAGATGGGTTGCTGAGACAATCCGCCAAACCAAAGGAAAAAACTAGCACTGGAGCAGAAGAAAAAAATCAAAGACCTACAAAGAAAAATCTTGTCCTTTGTGCTCTGCTGAGACCTAAACAGGATTTTTGTTGCCAGGTGGCTCACCTGTTCCTGCTGGTGGCTCACAGCGCTTATCCTAATCCCATGTTTGCAGGTGCTAACGGTATACTCATCATCAGCATGTGATTATGGCTTCCACTGCCAAAACAAAACAAAACAAAACAAACAAAAAACTCCACAAACTACAAACTAAAGATTTGTTAAGAAAATATTTTGTCTTCCTAATTCTTCTTAGACAGGACACGAGGCATTTTTTAAAAATGGGGATGGGTTGGAAATTGTTGATTGAGTCCCAAATAATCAACAGCATGTTACTCCCAGAAGGAAATGTAAATCCACTTTTAGAGAAAGAGTCTGAGGAGGAAGATGTGTTTCACTTACAACTGCCACTGTTTTCATCTACCTGTTTTGTAGGGGAAATAATGAGAAATAAAAATAGAAGTAATTAAATCTTCGACTCAGCCTTTTCTCGTAAAGACGTGTGGCATATTATTCGAACATTAGGAACATTTCTTTTTTGTGATTACCCATGGAGAGCTGTGTTGTCATGTGTATTAGAAACAGCAAAGGACACCAGTCAATCAGAATTCCGAATCAAAAGCTTTTATTATGCGCAAAGCATTGTACGAAAATAACTCAGGGGCTCCCCAAATTTTATGTTGTTAGAATTGGATGTGTCTCAGTGCTGTCTTCTCCAACAGCCTGCCTTTGGGTCTGAAAATCTCACCATTAGCAGATAAGGCATTCCAGAAGGCCTCTAGTAAAATACTCATCTGTTGGGGATCCCTGGGTGGCTCAGCAGTTTAGCGCCTGCCTTTGGCAATCCTGGAGACCTGGGATTTCCCACATCGGGCTCCCAGCATGGAGCCTGCTTCTCCCTCTGCCTGTGTCTCTGCCTCTCTCTCTGTCTATCATGAATGAATAATTAAATCTTTAAAAAAATAAAATAAAATACTCATCTGTTACTCTTGTCAGCCTCTGAGACTAGATCTAGAGAAAGCATCCTAAGGGAAGCCAATGTGAATTAGACACATTTTGGGATGGGAGAGAAGTCAGAAATAGTTTCATGAGTTTCTGGACAGTAAATGTGTCTTAGCAGGCAGGACTAAGACAATTATGACAGTTAGGAAAATGTTCGTAGTCACTGGCCTCGAACATAGAAACAAAGAATCTGGAAGTCACTTTCCACTCTACTAATTGATGGATTAATTTTTTAAGCCATTCTTTTTGCTATTCCATCCATGTTTATAAAATGTAGAATGGACTTCTCTGTTGCCCAGAATTTTTAATAAAGCCTCAAAGTCAAGTCCCATGGGTGCTATGTGTCCCATATTCTAAAGAGAGAGGCTCAAGACACTGCTTCTAAGAAGGGGCCAACCTGGCCAGCCCCACACCCAACAGACTACATAAGAGAAGCGCACAGATTCATTAGGGAGGATTCTTAGAAGGGAATTCATAGCAACTGGTGGGTATTGTGATGTTCCCTACCCATCCATGTGAGGAACAGGGTGGAGATGGATCTCAAGAGAACCACACAGAGATGGGGGTTCTTTCTAAGAGGGAAGACAGTGTCTGAAACACACTCATTCCACACTTGCTGCCCTCAGGATGATGCCCAAGAAAGTTCTTGAGAGAACCTGCTCTGTGTTGTGGAGGCAGAGAAGGGTACCTGATGCCTACTAGGGCAGTATGCAATAGGAGGCTGGCCAGAGGGGCACAGAGGCGGCAGCTGCACTTGGCCTTTTCGGGCGGGGAGGGGTGAGCTTTCCACAGCCCCAGTGGATGCGGGGCAGGCAGCCTGGGTGACACAGTCCCAGAGCACTGTTGGGAGGGGTGAATGACTTAACTAGGAACTTAGAAGGTCTGTAAGAGGTCAGCCAGGAGGTCCAAAAGCCACATCAAAGGACAGCATGGAGGTTTTCTACAGGGTTCTCTGGAGAACCCATAAAATACCTGACACAAGAGCTAATTAATAATTGCATTCTTGACATAACAAAGGATGTTTGAGAACCTAGAGAATATTTACTGTTTTTATGTAAAAAGTAGACACTATCTTTTGCCTTCTCTTAAAAAGTCTCCTCCCCCAGACTCTAGGGGAGCCAGACGTTGGGAGGAGGAGGGGCATGGAGCAGAGAGAGTGGAGGAACATTCTACGGCTCCTTCCCTCCTCTTAGGCTCTGACCCTCAGGCCTTGGCCTGAACTCAGCCAAGAGAAGCACATAAAAATGAATGAATACATTTTCAATCTAGGTGGGTCTGGGCTCTGCAATACATGAAAATCATTGTTTTAGTACTCCTACGTGACAAGAAAGCCATACCATCTTCCTGGGATGCTATCAGGGACAGGGAAGAAGGAGATCCATAGGACTATATTGGAAAGTGGCAGTGGAAGAAAATGAAAGCTACTGACTTGCTCTACCTTATCGAGTTCAAGCCTTTAAATAACATGACTAAAGAAAAAAATGTATCTGAAACGGAAGAATTAGATAGAAGATGTCGTGATTTTTCTATCTATCCAACATATCCTTTCAGCACCTCTTTCCCCGTCAGATTGGCCAATACCAACACTTCTATTTGCCAGAGGCCCTTAGGCATCTACATATGCCTCAATCCTTAGGACTCACCTGCGGGCCCTGTACAGGCTACGCCAACTCTTAAAATTCTCAACCCAGATTTCCCCACAAGAACTGCATCCAGGGCTCTATTCACACTTAGTCATTGCTACTACTCTTTTCTCCTTGACTCTTAAAACATAACTACGAGGTATTTTCCTGTTTTATAGACCAGGAAAACAGGTTCAGCCAGCATCTGTACTCAGGTCAGATTCCAATGTCAATATTCTTTTCATAACATCTTTTTATGAGACATTGGTATAGCAGTGATTTATAAATCAGGAAAGCTGGGGACCTGTTCGACTCAGGGAGGAGATCTGGCTATTTCTTAAGCAGGGACAGTCATGATGACTCCGTGAGTGACCGTGCCACTTTTAGGTCATCACTGGGAAATCTGTCCTTATTGTTAAAATCTGAATGCTAATTTGGGAAGACCATCTCCCACATGCAACAATACCTCTAGCCCACCATCAAGACTATAGACAGAAAAACTGACCATCCTTCTATGAATATGATGAACACTAGGACTAAGACTCATCTAATTTTCAAAGCTAACTACTCATAGTTCCTGGGCACCACTTTTGTGCCAGCTTATCAATTCCAAGTCTCCTACATTTTACAGAAGGTTTATCCTCTACTTTTCAAAGTTAATATTCTTGCTCATTGCTCATTATCACAACTTCTCCTCCTCCTGGTATCATAGGGGCAATCAGGCTGATCTTATTTTGAGAAGGGAAAAGACCAGGTCTCTGTCATGTAGGACCCATTCACCTGTCTATAAATGGTCAATAGGAGGTCGAGGGTCCTCATAACTAGCCAACCACCTAATAGGCAACACAACAGCAAGAGAGTTGAAAGAGGGAAGATATGGAAATGTCCTGAAAATCCCTCTTAAGTGAGCTCTACTCTGACTTGCAGTAGGTTAATAGGTCAGTTTATTGTTCAACAATTTAGAAAGAACGTGGAGAATTTTTTTCAAGGTTCAGAAAAAAGTAACAATGACAAGTAGGTGAGAAGTTGAGCTTCTGAGCAAATTTTAAGGAACTGATATATTTATAGGAATTAAAGGTGAATTATACAGAAATACATTTTTCTGTATCTCTATCAAAGTCAAGTGCAACAAGAGGAATGTTAAAATATATTCAAAAAGCATGAAAGCCTGTAAAGTCTCATTGAAGGAGGTTCTATAGCCTTTTTATGAACACACAGAATTTGGGTGTGTTGACCATGTAAAAGCCACTTTCGTAGCAGGCATAGGAGCTCTTTAAAGGACTAGCTGTCAGATGTGACTGTACATCAAAATCACCTGTGATGCCTTCTAAGCATGAGCAACAGGGGCCCAGACCAAATGTAACAAGTTGGTATCTGCAGGGTTGAGGCTCAGCTGCTGTTTTGTTTTAAGTGACACAGCTGACTCTGGATTGGCAGCCAAGGTTAAGAACCACTGCTGAAGAGCTCTGGATTAAAAAAAAGCAGGAAAAGAAACCCACAAGCCCTTACAAAAGGGAGACCTAAACAAAAGCAAAATATAGTTCTCTGAAAAGACTTAATAAACCCCTGATAATACTAACCAAAAAAAAAAAAAAAAAGAAGTACATGTCACCCAATATCAGTAATGAAGAGACATCACTAAAACATCATAGATCCTATGGTCATTGAAAAAAAAAAAAGAAAAATCATGAGGTATTATGAACTTTCTTCTAGTAAAAAAACCACACAATTCTAAGTTCGGATGATTTTAAAAAATGAATTCTTCCAGACATTAAAGAAGAAATAATCCTATCTTACCCAAACTCTTCCAGAACGCAGAAAATAAGAGACTATTTCCCAATTCATTCAATAAGGCCAGAATAACCTTGATACCAGAACCTCCAGAACCTTGAAAAGGATGTATAAGAAAAGGCCAATCTCTCATAAATATATATGCAAAAATCCTAAACGAAATATGAAAAACTGTGTACATATAAAAATACCACAATCAGTGTATTCTGGGAACACATGGTTGGCGTAGCATTTAAAATTAATAAATGTGGGCAGCCTGGGTGGCTCAGCGGTTTAGCGCCGCCTTCAGTCCGGGGCCTGATCCTGGAGACCTGGGATCAAGTCCCACATCAGGATCAAGTCCCACATCAGGCTCAAGTCCCACATCAGGCTCCCTTCATGGAGCCTGCTTCTCCCTCTGCCTGTGTCTCTGCCTCTCTCTCTCTATGTCTCTCATGAATAAATAAAATGAGTAAAATCTTTAAAAAAAATAAATGTAATTCACACATGAGCAGAATAAAGGAAAGATCCATATAATCATTCTAATAGGTATAGAAAAAGCATTTGATAAATTTCAACATCTATTTGTAATATTTAAAAAACTCTTTGCAAAATAGGAAAAGAGGGAATCTTTATTTATATAATAAATGGAATTTACTAAAAGCCTACAGCATGCTTAACGGCGGAATACTGAAAACTTTTCTGACAGTGGAGGACAAAGATGCCTACTACCACAACTTCTATTCAGCATTGTACTGAGGCCCTCAAGTAAGTGTTATCAGGCAAGAAAAATAAATGTTGAAACGAATAAAAGTCATCCTTCACAGATAACATAATTATGCATAGAGAAAATCTTTAAAAACTACTGATCAACTGTTAGAAAGTGAACTTATGTCATTGGATACAGAGTTGAAAATATCATTTTCTTTCCAGATTTGTGTCTCATCCTTGCACAGGGGCCATGATCACCTTCTCCGTATTGTTCTAATTCTAGTATATGTGCTGCTGAAGCAAGCAGAAAAATATCCCTTTGTTTCTAGATACCAGCAAAAAACAATTAAAGATATAATTACAAAAATGACACATTTAAAATAGCTTGAAAAGAAAAAAAAATAGCTTGAAAAACATTGAAGATCTAGGAATATATGGAAGAACTTTATACAGAAATTAAAAGAAAATCTACATAAACAGGATATATTGTGTTCATAGATTAGAAGATGTCAATTCTCTCCAAATTATCTATAGTCACTGTAAACCTAATCAAAATCCCTTGAAATCTGTGTCCGTGTGTGTGTCAGTGTGAAACTGACAAATTGATTCCAAAATTTATATGGCAATACAAAAAATTAAGGACAGGATAATCTTGAGGATTCAAAACTGGACAACTGACTATACTGGAAATCAAGACTGATAGAGCTACACGAACTAAGACAGTATGACATTGGTGCAAACAGAAGGGTCCAGAAACAGGCCTCTACATCAGACACTTGATTTATGACAAAGGCACAGCACTGGGAAAAATACAGTAAATGGTGCTGGGTCCATCACCTGAATGGGAAGAGTCAAAAAGCAGACACTTCTGGGAGGTAACAACACAATGTCTTCATGACCTTGGATACTGATTTCAACAGGGTAAAATAAACATTAACCCTGAAGGAAAAGATTGGGTCAACTGTACTACATTAACATTAAAAAGTTGTTTTCATCCAGCCATCAGGGGTGAAAAGCTAGAGCCAGAGGATCTATGCAATGCATATGTCCAAAAAACTGTCTGTAAGTGGCTATTTTTTAAAAACTCCTATAAATCAACACGTAGCAAGTCAGTAAATCCAACAAAAAAAAATAGGCACTTATACTTAATTAGGTATTTCACAGAAGAGAATAGCCCAAGGCCAATAAGCATATACAGAGATGCTTGTCATTAGTGAGCAAGTCCAAATTAAAACAATATCATGCACCTGCCATAATGGTTAACATTAAAAAAACTCAAAACCAAATCTTGAAAAGGATACAGGGCAACTGGAGCTCATAAACTGCTGGTGGGAGTTTCAGGCGGTATGGCCACTTTGGGAAATTGTCAGGCAGTACCTAGTAAAGATAGCCCTCTACCTGTGACCCACGTACCCCACGATAAAGCAATTCTGCTCAGTTCATGCCAACAGAAATGCGTTTGTGTGGGCATTGAAACACATGCTAAGGACTGCTCCTAGTAGTATTATGGGTAATAGCCAAAAATTGCAAACAATTCAAATGACAATTAGCAGAATAAACTGTAAGATAGTCATACAGAGCACAGTAAACCAAGCAATGAAGTGGATAAACTACACAATGAATCGCCCCTTCTATCCCAGCTCTGCTGCACCAGCCCTTGCCTCTTGTTCCTTCATTATTTAAACTGTTTTATGTGTCTACTTCATACTTCTCTCTTGAAGCAAGTAGGGTAAAAATGAGTTTGTAATGCCTTAAGAGTTCTTAAAGGAGCTAAGAAATCCACACAGAAGCAGGTTGCGATTCTGGTGAACCCCAGAAAGTCTAAGCCCAGTGTCAAGGGAATTTATGCTGAGGTCAAGTGCCCTGGCCAAGCCCTTGAAACACTTTAGGTTAAGAACCATATAGGTTTCTCCCCACCCCATCTAGGCCCCACCCCCCTACCTCTGTGGCCCTCATGCTGCTTTTCCACAATCCTTTAAACGCTCTTAATCCTTTAGTCCAGTTTGTGGACTCCTTAAGAAACTAGGCTGTACCTAAAGCAGCCAGCAAATGTAAGGAAAAAGAAAGGATTCCCAGCACTGCACTTGGTGGTCTGAGTGGATCCAAATGACAGAAAGTACCCAACACCACGCATACGTATGTCCCTCTGTTCCTTTCTTGGTCAACTACAGATTGCCAACAGCCCACCAGGAAGTGACAAATGTGGAAAGGTACAAAGCAAAAGATTTTACAAGACTTCCAAGGGCAGGTGAGCAGTTGTTAATAGGCTGTGGAGACACAGGTTAGCTTCCTGGCTTCACTACTTAAGACATCTAGGCCCTTGGACAAGCCAGTCCCATCATCCCAGGGTTGTTACGTTAAGACTATAGCTATGCACAGTTCTCAAATAATAGCGGAGATTAAAAAGGGAACAGCAAATGCTGGTCCTTGGAATCTCAAGCAGCAAAGCAAATCAATGGTAAGAAAATTGGTCAATTTCCCATGAGACAATTATCTTGGCAGTGAGCTTTGAAACACAAAAGCACCTCTGAAATCCTGTAAAAGATGGTCTACCCCTAATTTAGTCAAAATGGAAGAAAGTCTGTTTAGGATACTTTTTCCCCTTCTAAATTCGACAAATTATAAAGTAGATGGGCCTATGGGCAGCGCAACAGCAAATGCGATGGAAGGCGGCAGTCACCACTAGGTGCTGCTCAAGAATCGGCTGTAGCCTGTGCTCCCCCCAGCCACCCCCCCCCCTCAAGACTCTCAACCCTGTCACCTGCTTTTTTTTTTTTTTTTTCCCTCGAAAACAACGAACGACAAACTTGACAAATGCTTACTGAGTCTATTTCCGGAAAAATGTGTTTAAATGAAAGCCATTCCGCACACCAAAGGTACAACAAATACTTTTATTGCACATTTATAAAATCTGCATAGTTGTATCAAGTGTTCTTCCTGCCTACTATGCTCTCATTCATGTTAAAATTTGGTTGAAACATGTATCCAATCTGGAACCTTTTAAAAATGGTCAACAGGGGATATTTCTCTCTCTACATATACATATATATATAGATTTTTCTTTTCTTTTTACAAACCCATATCCCTTATCTTTTAGAAGCAAAAAAAGGGGAGGGGTATTCAAATGTTTTTTTTTTTTTTTTTTTTGTGGGGGCCAGCAGCAGCCTTTGACATCTATTGTTGACGATTTTTGGATGCTACAAGATTTTACTGAAACAGTGAACAACTCTCACAATGCTATCGTGACTCAATCATGCTTCATGACGCCGTTCTGTCTACGGTCCTTAGTGCTTTCCTTTCTTTACTCAGGACTGAGTGTGAGGTTTTCTGGTTTATTTAAAAATATAAAAATAAGGGAGAGAGAGAGAAGAGAGGAAAGGCAGCTTTCTTTTGACTTTGCAGCATCTTGCTGCCACATGCCCTTATATTTCTACCCACATGTAAAAGGGCAGCAGTTCATCAGCAACTCACTGTCATCTCCTGTCAAGAGACAGGCAAGGTTTAGATTTCTCATCTCTTGCAGTTAAGAACTTTTAAATGTCACCTGTATTTGATAAAATAACTAGTAGCTGTTCATCTGGTTCAGGTTCTGATGGATCACCCTTCTATTCACTGTCAAAAATATTTATGCCTGAAGGATAATTTTAAAAGTGGCAAGAGTCTTACAAAAGCCCAGGCACTTTTGAAGGTACAAGAGTCATTTAAGGTCTTCTGACATAATTCAATACCTTAATACAATGGCTCTTGTCTTTTTTTAGTGAAATTGCTTTTATGATTCTGTACCTAAAAAGTGCAATTTTATTTTCAATCCTTCTTTACACGCAGAGCATGGTTGGGTCTGGATCTGAATCTTACTTTCCCACCTAATCCCTTCCCCAGGGTAAACACTGTGACAACAGACTTCTGTGCAACAGGCAGGCAGCCGTAGACCAAACTGGACCTTGACCATGTGGGGGCTTATTTCACTGTCACAGCTGAAACCCCCTGAATTGACTCCATGACAGCTGCAAATCGGCTACAAAGGTCATAGGGAGAATTAGGTCGAATAGTTGGAGGCTCCTTCAAGACAATGATTTCTGCAGAAGGATCTAGTAGCCTCGGTAGAAACTCCCCTAAGCACAGTTGTAGATTTTCTGTGGAAGGAAAATGAATGGTTACATATACAGCTAAACAGCTCTCTGAGTACAAACTAGTTAAGTCTGCAACTATAATGGGAAAGCCTTCCATAGAGCCCACTCATTCTCCAACCTCAGAGGTCAGAGCATGGTGCTGGCCAGCTAACAACAAATGATGATTCCTTTAAGTCCAAACCAGGAACAAAGAATACTTGGCCAAATAGACCAAAGCACTAGGTCACTGCTTTAAGCCATGTGATGTGTGACAGGATAACACTAAATATTCATTTCAATGTCAGGCCTTCTAATGTATCATCCTTTTAAAACTTGAGAAAGTGGATTTGATACTCTATGCCATTAACACAATAGTGCTATTTCCTTTCAATGATTAAAACATACTAGCGTGTACACATGACCTTAAGTAAAGCTCTACCACACAGTCTAAAGAAAAACTGAAGACCTTAAAAGGAAATTTGTAACTACTAATTATAGAATTTTCCAGTAAATATTATAAACATGAATACTTTAACAAGTCAATAGAATATCTTTATATCAGTGAGAAACTAACAAAGAGGCTTCATGTTAGAACATATACCAACTTTCTATGTCTATCAAAACTCACCCAAGCTCTTTGGCACCCTCTCCAAAATGCTTTGGACAAGCAAGGCTATTCCACTTACCATTTTATTAATTCTGAGGGCATTGTAGCTAATAAGAGGTGTTCTGTCTTACAATTTCAAGTCATGGGAAAGTTTAGTTATGGCACCACCAGGCAATCAAGCTACATAAAGAGTTTGACAGATCAAAGAGTAATACAAGTCTGACATTCCCAGAGAAGGGTAATTTTTTTGAACAGGGCTTGTAGCCAGGCTGTTTGCAGAAGTGCTTTAGTGGCCACAGAGGAGGTAAGGGAAGCTAACAGGGACAAAGGTCTAGGATCCTATCCCTTGTTTCACTAGAACAGATCCACTTTTAACTCACTTATAGGCTTCAATAATCCTTTAAAAAGGTTTGATAACCAGGGCTGTAGAGTGAGAACACTGTCATTTCTAAAACTGTGAAGAGCCTCAGAAGTTATTGCAAGTGCCAACAACAACATACCAGCAATATCTTGCCCAAGGTAAGAGCACCAATGGTTTCTCATGATCTCAATGGCATGTAGGTCATCCTTGGAGATGTCATTATTAATGATAAGGTGAATGCAGGGAATGATCAACTCATTCATCACGTTAATGCCCTCTGTTACAGAGTGGTCATCGTTTGTTTCAAAGAGAGAAGCTGCTTTGGCATTCAGCTCCTACAGGTAAAAGGCAGATTGGGGGGAAAAAAACAGTCTGAAACAGATAAATACCTATTTCAGAAGAGCCTAAACAAGTGGTTCCCAAAATTTACTGCATGTTGCCTGGGAATCTTTACAAACTACTGGTGCCCCACCCCCGAGCATACTGATTTGATTGGTATGCAGGTGACTGGGGCACTAGGGTTTTATTTAAAAGCTCCCAAGGTGATTCTAATGCAGCAAGGACTGTGATCCATTTACCTAAACTTGCAAGTCAAGGTCTTGCCTATCATTGTTTCTACTAAATTGCTCATTCAATGGCTCTCAATCTCCACTGAGCATCAGAATCATCTGTAGAAGATACGCTGATGCCTAGGCCTCTCTCCAGAGCCTCTGGTTTGACAGTCTGGGGAGGAGTCACCACAGGGTGAAAGCTCCCTAAATGACTCTAACACACACTGGGGGTTGTGAGCCTGTGATGCGAAGACCCTCAATCACTATTACCACCGACTGATGGAAGATGAGCAGGACCTTCAAAATGTAATCTGTACTTGGTGATTTAAAGCATAATAAAATTCAGACATCACAGCTACAAGTCCTCTTTTTCAGCTCCAAAACGCCCTGCCACATCCTCTAACTGAAGCAGAAATCAAGGTATAAATCAGAAAATGAAGCTCTTGAGATGAATATGTGTCATGACTTAATCTCTTCCATTTGGTGTTAACAAGGCAGCAACAGCAATGTTGGCTGGACTCTTCTCAGGAAGAGCAATCGTGAGGGATGTCAGGGAGGACAAATCGAGGCTCCCAATGTGGGGAGAAGCTTGCCTTTTGTGGTTCTCTGAAGGACAAGTACCTGTCCAAACCCTTGGAGAGGCAGAGGGCACACAGGTCTGCCATTCTCCAAGAGGCCAAATGCCAAAGAGGCCAGGCTAGACATTCAGTGCTGTAGGACCGTGAGATTAACAGAACAGCAGGACCAAGTCTTATGGTTTATACCTTTTTTTAAAAAAACTGGAGTCTCTTAGGGGTTGCTAAAATTCCCATCTACTAGCTTAGCAGGTAGCATTGCACAGAACGTAGAAAAAACACTGCATTCCTTCAACATGTATCTGTTGCATGCTTACGATATGCCAGGCACAGAGAAAACAGCGAAATAAGAAAAGGGTCTGTGCGTGAATTCACGATCCAGCAGAGAAGCAATGTGATGATAAATACCATAATGCAGTTGTACATAGAGGGCACAGAGAAAGGGGTAACTGATTCTTTTTTTTTTGGGGGGGTGGTAACTGATTCTTGTCCTAAGAAGGGGCTGAAGAAGAAGGATATTCATTTAAGTAACTTAAAATAATCTGTTTCAATTTACAGCTGCTCTCAAGAGTTTAGAGAAATCTAAAACCAATAGAAGATTAGTTTTTAAGTTGTATTTCTTTGTGGCTTCAAGGAACAGAGATGAGGACAAAATAATAAAGATCGTTAAGGCTTAATGAGCAGTACACACCAGAAGGCATTTTCTTCGGTACAGAGCGATGACCGATTCCTTCACCCCGCGGCGGGGCCCCTTTGTCAGCAGAGCAGCATTGCTCTGGTAGGCATAGACCAGGTAGGACAGTGCCTCTTGGTACCTTAAAGAATGGTAGATCATCAATAGCTGAGTCCTCCTTTCTCCAAAACCTAGGGCTTCGACCCCTCTGTCCCCCAGTGCAAACATTTACATGGCTGCAGTTACAGCCAAGTCCTCAGGACAGAAGCAGTGCGGTGCCCTGGGAAAAGCCAGAGGCCCAGAGACTGCAGTCACTCTCAGCTCTTCTGCAAACTGGTCAAGAAACCCAAAGTGAACCATGAAACTTCCCTGGGCTTCCTGGATTCTAAACCAAAGGAGGGGACTGTGTGATTACTAAGGTCCATTCCAACTCTAAAATTCATTTTCTGAGTTCATCTTCATTTACCACAAAGAAAATCTGGCCATTACGTTATCCTCACCAACATATCTACCACTGCCTGAAGGATGGCCTACCATGTGTGTTCAGTAAAACAGCAGGCAAGGCAGGGGGGCCCTGGTGCGTGGGGCAGGGGAGGGGATGCGCGGCCACGGTTCTTGGTATTCCCAGGTGGGCATTTGTGTGGGTAGTTAAGAGGGCCGTGACCAATAATCCAAAAGACATAAAAGGCCCACATACTTTCCTTTCTGGTAGAGCTCCAGGCCTGTTAGGAGATACACAGACACTTTCCGAAACAAACTATAATCTTCATGCCACTTCTGAAAAGGAATGAATGCCATTAGCGATTATGGTCACCATAAACATCACTACCCTTCCCACCATGGTAAGTCTGACACTGCGTACAAGTGCTTATCCAGCACATATGGCCAGGCACAAAAATCACAAACACAAGAGCTTTCTGATCATGACATAGTCACCATTTACAATAAAGTCCACTGTTGACCTTAATTTTCAGTGACCTGTTACTTCTTCTGAGGGACAGAAATATTTATTTCATATGAGCTTTAGAATGTATTATCTTAATTTCCAACATCCCCATCAAGGTCCTGCAGCTCTGGTTTAAACAGATGCCTGTCGGGCAGCCCCGGTGGCTCAGCGGTTTGGCGCCGCCTGCAGCCTGGGGTGTGATCCTGGTGACCCGGGATCGAGTCCCACATCGGGCTCCCTGCGTGAAGCCTGCTTCTCCCTCTGCCTGTGTCTCTGCCTCTCTCTCTCTGTGTGTCTATGAATAAATAAACAAAATCTTAAAAAAAAAAAAATAAACAGATGCCTGTCGAGTTCTGACAAAATTGTGCACCTTCAGGAACCACCAAAGGACAAGGCCATTCCAATTACACAGAATGACACTCAGCTCAGCAGGTGTCAGAGGCACACTGGGTGTCACAAAGCACTGTTTCACTTCTAACACAATGCTTTTGGGGAAATTTGTATTTATATATGCATTTTAATGAACGGAAATTTCATTTCAAATATAGAAATATAAAAAGAAAAAAAAAAGAAATATAAAAAGCCACACAATGATTTTAAAACAAACCAAAACCAGGAATCAAGGCTAAAGTAGGTATTAAAAGGAAACGAAATGTTAATTTATTCTAACAGAAAAATGGAACAAAGAAACAGGTTATTCTGAGGGTCAGAAAAGATCATTTATCTATTCTCACCCACTTGTACTTTTTGGGGGTTGGGTGGGGGCAAGTCAGTTTGCAATAACACAAAATTGTTAGCTTGGCCTTAAGAAGTAATATTTTGTTTTATAGACTTAAAAGATTTCACCTTGTACTCTTCCATATTCATGTCATCTGGACCAATCTCCTTCAGTTTAGCTTGAGCCACCTTCATGATGCTGATCGATCTGTGTGGGACAAGGGTCAGAAAACTGTGAGGTGCAGGGCACAGCTTTCCCAAAGTCAGAGGAGGTCACGGGGCCCAACCCAGAAGCATTGGGCAATGCACCTGAGCGCTGCATCTCACCTTTCATCATAGCTAAGATTTTTATCTGCAAACTGTTCCAAGAGGGTCCGTTCTACAACTCTCTTGGGTGCCTCATTTTGGAAAAAGTAGACCAGCACATGCTGGAGCCGAGGGTCGCTGTGAGAAGTGGGCGTCTCTTTGGCAAGCTGGTAGAGCCTGGAGTATTCTTCATGGAATGCCTATTAAGGACAAAACTGGTAGTCAGAACAGGGTGCGCTGTGGGGTTCTGCTCACAGAACCTGATGCCTATGGGCTAGAGAGATTCTTGTAACTCCAAGGAGACTTTTGAGAAATTCATATTGGGGAATTACAGAGGCAACCATGGAATCTGTACGTTGTTTGCATTTCATAAGGGCGAGAACTCCTGTGGCACCAAAGATGTACTGCATTCATGAGAAATTCATTTTTCTCATAAGGTTTTAAGAAAATCAAATATTTAGTACTAACTAGCTCAGGCTAACCTTGGGTTCCAAGGACCTGAACTTTTTAAAATGCACATAAATGCAATTTATTCAAGTACCTTAAATTTTATTCAGGTACCTTAAAAAAATGGCCTACTTTCTTGTTTTATGGCTCCCAAACCATAAAAGCAATGCCTCACTCCCAGCTTTATTAACAGATATCTATCTCCTAAGGACAACAGCAAGCCCCCCAGGCCAGGCCTAACATAGTTGGGCATAGCTCACGAATGCTACGCTAGCACTGAGGGGAGGCACTGTCGGTATCATGGAAGGGCTGTCTTGTCCATTAGTGTGACTGGAAATGGAGTTTTAGGTGTTACTTGAAGGAAAAACATTCTTCATCCCATTTTTTACCATCTAATAGAATTATGGTCTTGTTACTATGATACCGGTGGTATAAAGATTAGATTTTTAAAAAGAGATACCTTAATAAGCCCTGCTTCAGACCCATCTCGGTCAAAGGTCTGACGGGCTTTAGCTATGGCCAGGATGACCCCTTGCATGGCGGGGCTCAGCATCACCTACCACAAGAGGGCACAAAACACAGAGAGAAAAAGAAGAGAAGAGAAGTTCAAAAGAAGACTGAATGGAAGAAAGGCGAGTAGGCTGCTGAAGGGAAGAGAGGCAGTGTGCCCACCGGCAGCAACTGCTAGTGGTCCAGATTTGTGCACCTGCCCCCATGCACACCCACGGCCCCGACCCTGTACCCTGTGGTGAAAGCTGGCCCAGGAAGAGCTGTTCCTATATACTCTAATTTAGCAGATAAATAAAGAGGGACATCTGAGAGCATCTACAGACGGCACTGCGAAAAAATCAAGCTAAATGATAGCTCTCCCAGGGGAAGTGTCCACAATGAGAATTCCAGTGGAGTTCTGTAATTTGGCTGTGTATCCCAGTACACAAATATTTTATTAGAGTTCTACTAAAATAATCAGTACGCTTAAAACAGTCTGGAAATTAGGTGATATACAAATATGACTTTATAGGGATCCCTGGGTGGCGCAGCGGTTTGGCGCCTGCCTTTGGCCCAGGGCGCGATCCTGGAGACCCGGGATCGAATCCCATATCGGGCTCCCGGTGCATGGAGCCTGCTTCTCCCTCTGCCTGTGTCTCTGCCTCTCTCTCTCTCTCTGTGACTATCATAAATAAATAAATTTAAAAAAAAAAGAGAAAAAAAAAACAAATATGACTTTATAAAACCAAAACTTTTCAATGATTTGGGAAAAAAAAATATCCCACAGGAATAAAAAGAACCCCAAGGGATAGGATTCATAACTGTTACATGCAGTGCCAACTGAAAAGGACCAACCGCAAGGAGCTTGGGATCCCACAGCTTCTCCCAAAAGCTTCGGAATCAAAAAAACTTCAATTCACATTTGTTTTGCTCACTAGACAACTGAAAATTTTATATTTGGAGGGAAAACAATAAACTAATATTTCCAAAGACAAAGGCTCCTAATTTAAAAGGCCTTTTTTTTTTTTTTCTCAAAATACCAAAAAAGTAACTGAGTGCTACCCTTCCGAGCCATCTAGACTCTGAGGTGCCTCCATCAGTATATGCCTGGGGAGATATACACCAGGCGCAGCATTCAGTGGGAATGAGGCTATCTTTTACAAAACAGCATATAAGGTCAAAACCAAATGGGCCCTCTTTTCGTTGCATGTTTCAATTATAACTATTTGTTCCAATATTAACTATCGCCAAACATCTTAGACAAGTATATCACAGTCACAGGGGAAGGAACAGAAGACTGGAGACAGACAGCTGAATCCTGCACTCATCTGTGTACCTCCTCATCATATCCATCTGCATCAGATCTAACCAGAATCCTTCCCACACTGGGAATCTCGACTTCAGAGGCCTCAGAATTAGGCTGGGCGGCAGACTCTGCGTCCTTCGCCTTTGGGGGCTGCTCTGATTGCTCTGCAAGGTTTGTTTCCGGGGGCGGGGGCTTCTCGGGTTCAGCTTCCTGAAGCTGTGGCAGCAGGATGGAGAGAAAGAGTAAGGACAAAACAGGAGAAAGAAAGAGGGACTGGTTAAATACAGCAGAGACACAGTAATAGAAATGTGAGAAAGTGGCGGTCATGGCTGTGAGCCCACCCCTCCTGAGTATGGGCTTCTGCATCACTGTCACCTCGCTCAGCGCTGCTTCCACGCCGCTCCTCTCGTAGGCACGTGCGGTATTGGCAATGGCCTGCGCCGTCTGCTCCTTCACGATCACTGCGTGCTCGGATGCCAAGCAGCGGACCCCGTGAGAAGAGGCTGCTGAAGGCTCTGGTAATGAATGGTACAAAGGGATTAGCATCTGATGGTGAGTGACGTCTAGAACACTCTGTGTAAAAGGGCAAGCAAGACAGACAGAGGTTCATCTACAACCCTTTTAGCAAACATTTAAAGTAGAATCTGCAAATCTCCCCTAGAACCTAGTGACTCAAAGAAATGTCTACTTCAGAAAGAACCCACTGATGGTTTCGGAAAATTGAATGTGCTCCCAACTTTGTCATATTGCTTTACGTTAATGAAGGCTTCCAACAAATGGCCTTCCGTTAGGAAGACTGCCTCTGGGGAATAGGTTTCATAGAGTCTGCTTAGTAATCCTACATAGCTTCTCCGGCAACCTGGGAAACCATGAAAACCGAACAGATGAGAAGTACAGGGAGCTGGTCTTTCTGCTCTTACTTCTGCTCATCGCAAAGGACACCCTCAAGCCACAAGTTATTCTGTCAAGTTGTGCAACACCAGCAACGCTTCGTGCAACATCAGCTACACTTGGGACTATACATAGTGCAGACCGTGGAAGCCCTCAGTCAATGGAAGCGCCAGAGCTGGCTGACGGGGAGCATGGTGAACACCGCCAGATCATGGAAACACAGGCCCTCCCCAGTTACCTGGGGACGGAGAGAAATCCTGTGATGCTGAGCTGGTGGAGGAGTCCATTTGTGGGATTTTGCAAGACTGCTCTTCTTCCCACTCTTCGACTTCCTGCTCAAACCTCCAGTTATCTTCCTGAATGTAATGCTTCAGCTCAACAGACAGGGCATCCACTTCTCCTAACATCTGATCTGGTTCACTTGGGGCTGCCTCTGAGATGAGAACAAAAACAGAGTTAAAATGCAGCGCCATCCAGCCGAAGGTCACAAGGAATTAGAAGGTCCTTTCTAGAAAGAAAACAAAAGAAGACACTTTGTCCTTTTTCTTACTCCACACAAAAAATACATACATACATAATCCATCAGAAGTAATGACAGTATAAAGCCAACTGTCATAGCACACTAGTAACAGGGCCTGGCAGATTAGTAGGTAGGCATGCAGGGGTATCTGTTGAATGAATGAATGAATGAATGGATGGATGGATGAGTGATAGAAAGCAGGGATTTGGAATAGAGGCCAAATCACTGGCAAAATAGCAAGAACAGACCCAACATTTAGAAATCCAGAACAACATTAGATCCAGTGGAAATTTCAAGTTGAACAGTTTTATCAGTGTAACCACAACTATTACTGATAAAAATACCCTTCTCAAGATGGTTAGAGATGAATTCCAAGACATCTATACTGCTTCAGGTCCACATTAAGTGGGTGCTATCAGAAAGCAATGTGATACAACAGTTAGATGGTAAATAATACCTGGGGGATAATTTAAGGTTTGGAAGAAAAATGGCAAGAATAACAAGAACATATGAAATCTCATTTTTTTTTTTTTTTAAGATTTTACTTTTGTTATCTCTACATGGGGCTCGAACTCATGACCTGGAGATCAAGAGTCGCACATTCTTCTGACTGAGCCAGCCAGGAACCCCAAAATTTCATTTCTAATCCTGTGACCAAATCAAAACAAGAAGCTTACAGTAGAACAACACATCCACTCCCAGGTTGCCTTTAATTCGTCTTTTCATTAAGTAAATGACAGTTTCCATTTATCAGTTTCTATAGTATAAAAATGAACCATATATGTAATAACAAGGCTCCTATACACTACCAACAATAGTCCAGTCATTTGTACAACTCCCACAAGCAGCTGTCCCTGCTCTGGTGCTGCAGAGATGCAATTATGAAGAGCAGTTACTGCTAAGTGATCATTCTGTCTCTCCCCTGTCCCTGGCCACACCAGATCAGAAAGACAGTGCACCGCCTGAACAAAATGCCTCCTGTGTTTTCTTACTTACTCAACCCAGTACAGTCTGAATATGAAACGGAAAAGTCTTCCATGATCTTAGATGCAAAATGCTGCTCACAAGACTTCTCCCAGAAAACGTAAAAGGAAGAGAGAATAATGTAAATGGAAGAAAGCACAGAATTTATTTTATTTAAGATTTTACTTATTTATTTGAAAGAGAAAGAGAGATAGCTAGAGAGAGCATAAGGGGAGGGCAAGAGGGAGAAGCAGACTCCCCACTGAGCAGGAAACCAGACTCAGGGTTGGATCCCAGGACCCTGGGATCACGACCTGAGCCAAAGGCAGACATTTAACCAACTGAGCTCCCTAGGCACCCCTCACACCACAGAATTTAGAGTCAGAACTGGATCTGAATCTTGGGCCTGCCATTTGTTCACTGGCTGTGAGTCTGGAGGAGAAGGGTAACTCAGCTGGAACACATTGGCAAGAAGAATTCCTAGCCTGTTATGAGAGAAATAAAGTTTGAAAGCACATAGTAAGTAGTAAAGTTCCAATATAAATGATAATGATTGCTCTCACAATTATAGTATTATGAGAAGTATAAAATTGTTCAGGCAAAGCCACTAAAATTTAGCTATTCTCAAAGGGTCCAAAAACATGTGCACAAGGATGTCCCTAAAAAATTAAAAAACAAAAACAAACTAGAGACAATATAATGGTATGTCAATGGAGGCTGGCTTAAAAAATTATATATGGAATTATGGATGGAATTATGATGCAGTTGTTAAAAAGAGTGAGTTGGTTCTATTTATAAAAATACAGAGGTTAAAAAAATATAGAGATTACCTAATATATATGAGTGATGAAAAAGATGCAGAGTAGAATGAAAAAATGTCCCATTTGGGGGAAAAATCGGGTGGGGACATATATTGATAAAATCTTACTTCCTGAATACTCCGTAAGAAACCTAAGAACAAATACATGCCAGGCTCCAGGATAGAAATAGGAAAGCAAACTTATTTTTTCTTAATTCTCTTTTATACTGTTGTTTGTAAAATGCATTATTATTTTATAATAAATTGTAGTTAAAAAACTTTTTTTTTTTTAAACCACAAGACTGTTCCCTTCTGTGAGCAGTAGAGATTTTCCCCATCTCTGGCTTCCACTACACTATGTTTACCTGCGTTGAAGTGTGGTAGCTTGTCGTTAATGTACATCAGACAGTAAGCACTAACATTTCTCAGGCCCCCATAAGAATCTCTTTCAAGTTCTTCCCAGGAAGATTCAGTAACAGAGATGTCATTGTACTTGAGCCAGACTTGTCGGGGCTGATTATAAATATAGGCCCAGTAATGTCCAGCATTTGCTTGCCCTTCATGAACGAGAACAGCATGTAAGCGGTAAGGCACCTGCCAAGGAGAAGATATTTTCCTGAGTCAGATTAAGCAAAGTAAATGAGAAATTTTAGGTAATTAAAATTCAAACTTATGGCCAGCTAGCAGACATAAGAAAATTGACTATTTTATACATGTGTTTGAGATAGGGTTAACGGTAAGTACCTTGACGATACAGTATGAACAAAAATACAGTCTTGGAATCTACCAATGTGTTTCAATTCCTGAATCTTTAAAACCACACGTCTGAACGAGACGACCTCTTTGATGACTCTTTAAAGTCTTTAATCGCAGATCTCAAGTCAAAGATAACACAGATATATGCATCCCTCTAATCCCAAATTCAGTTTATTTAAAAATAGAAATCACCTTCACCACTCATGTTGAGAAACATGTGCTGCATTTAGGACCTACAGCAAGTTTAGTGGCTCTCTTGTTCTACACCGATTTTATTTGGTACCGAATTTCACGTTACCATGTTTCATCATGAATCAGTCATATGATCCCTACATTTCACCTGCCGAGTGACTCATCCACCTATCTGGGGTGAGGACCCTTTCAATTCCATACTTGTTTGTTTCAGTGTTTGAAAAGCATTTTTTTGAGATGGAGAAAAACAGCAATGCTATAGGTACTGATGAAAAAAAAAAAATCAGCCAGAGAATCATTCAGTCAGTACCTTCACAGATTTTCCTGGTGGGGAAATTTTTGAAACACAGAAGGGTAAGTGAAGAAAACCCAAGATTTACACAGCACATTCCTGCTGTGCCTCCATGAGACCTGGCAGCTGACAGGGTTCTCCTCCTCCAGCCACGCACAAAGAAGCCACACTGAGCACTCAGGCCCTGACTGCAGCATCTTATCCCCTTTGTGCTCACGATGTTATCCCAAACAAAAATTTATGTGGACAATAAAAATTTCTGCCCTGACCCATTCCCTTCTGGGATTTTCAGGGAAACAAATCTTGAAAGCACGCTGCTAAGCCAAGCATCACCAAGGATGATGATACTTTGGAAAAGGGTGCGGAACCATTCCCTGTCTGGGGTTTTCCCCACCACACAACTTCAATTATCACTTTATGAGAAATTTCTTAACACTTGACAGCAAACCTTTCTACTGTATGAAAAAAATACCATATGGCAGAATCAAAACAAATCTGTTTTAAATGTTACTGTTAGAAGATATAGTCCTTGTTTTGGCCTGAAAAGAAATAGAAAAATACCTATTTCTGTCCCAAGTTTATTCTTCTAACTCAGGGAGGTTCCCAGTCAGTCTCAAAGAAAACTATCAAATTTTCTTTTGGATCTACCATCAGTACACGAGGACATGCCTTAACTACTTTCCCATCAATTTTCATTCTACCTGACGAAGGAGAGGGTCACAATACATCTGCTCAATAGTCCGGGTAGTGCTCGCAATACAATTCTTTAAATCTGTTAAAGAAACAAAAAACAAGAAACATAGTTAAAATGATGTCATTCTATGCCACACAGGGTGCTTCAGCTAAGCAAAGAGCACGGATTCTCTGTGCCTGGGTTCTGACAATTTCAGCTCTACTCTATGAACCACGAAGGAGTACAGGCTTTCAAGGCACCTAGTGCTTTTAGCTTAACATAATTCCATCAATGGTTTAAAAAATTATCTCTTCTACTTGGCACCAGAATTTCTCCCAAAAGAAACCACCTCTATGTAGAAAAAGACCTTAATGGGTCACTCTGGGTATAAAATACATGTCCCTGAGACAGGACGAGAGAGGAGAAGGCAAGGCAAAAGGCAAGGTAAAATATATGTGGTAAGAACTTGGGAGGGGGATCCCTGGGTGGCGCAGCGGTTTAGCGCCTGCCTTTGGCCCAGGGCGCGATCCTGGAGACCCGGGATCGAATCCCACGTCAGGCTCCCAGTGCATGGAGCCTGCTTCTCCCTCTGCTTGTGTCTCTGCCTCTCTCTCTCTCACTGTGTGCCTATCATAAATAAATAAAAATTAAAAAAAAAAAAAACTTGGGAGGAATCTGGGTTTGATGATTTAATTTGATCTGACTGATGTGATTTGATTGATCTGATTATTTTATTTATTTAGCAACATGACAACATGATGAGGCCAAAGGACTTTTAAAACAGAACACTGAATAATTCCATTTTACATTGTGTACATTGCTCAAACATTCTCTGCCTCATTCACCTTCAGTAAAAACATGCTTCATATACACAAGACTCATAAAAAAGGAAAATCTAGGAGCGCTACATTTTTTTTTTTTAAGATTTATTTATTCATGAGAGGCACAGAGAGAGGCAGAGACACAGGCAGAGGGAGAAGTAGGCTCCATGCAGGGAGCCCAATGCAGGACTCGATCCCAGGACCCCAGGATCACGACCTGAGCAGAAGGTAGATGCTCAACCACTGAGCCACTCAGGCGCCCCTAGGAGTGCTAAATTCTAAGTCTGGGTCTAAAGCCTGGGTTCACATAAACTACAGGAATAGAAATCAGCATATGCAGAAAAATCCTGACAGTGATCACAAATGTCTAAGAGTCCCAGGAGTTCCCAGAAATCTGGGGGAGGGTTTCTAGGAGGGATCTTTCCGCAGTTGTATGCTGGAAGCAACTGAAAGTACAAAAGCAGTCCCAATCACCGTGTGCCTGAATTGTGCCTCTCCATCATTTATGCCTAACTTCCAGTGGAAAGGGAAAGATTAGTTGTCCAACAAGTTTTTAGAGAGCCAACCTTGTATATCTTGTTCAATCTCACTCCTCCACCTCTGAAGACAGGTTTTAACAAAGTTTATCTCCTCATCCGTGACAGTTCGAGGAGCTGGCTGTGCAGGCATTTCCATGGAAGACCGGGAAGATGTAAGTGGCTTATTCATTGCAATAGACTCGGGTAGAGAATCTTCAGGAGAAGAAAAGGTACCTTCAACATCCTGAGAAGAGCTTTCCTTACTTGTACTGAAAAAAGAGAAAAATTGTATTTGCATGATAATTTCCAAAATATGCGTTGGCCTCAATTAGTGTGCTTTGTAAAACTAACTGCTACATGGAAAAGTACTGCTATAATTTAATGAATATTTGCTCTATAAAGGCACTAAGACAAACCATTTCTTTATATGCATCACCTCAGTTAATACAACTTGCTTATGAGGCAGATATTGTTACCATCCCTAGTTCACCAATGACAAACCCAAGGTTTAGAGAAGTTAAGCAACTTACTCAAGCTCACTCAGCTAGTAAATTATGGGATTTAAACCCAGATCTGAGTCTATGGTTCATGCTCTCTAACCACTTCTTCTAAGAAGGAACATGAAGGAAGAGTACAAAGACGACTGGACTGGAAGAATCAAGGAATCACAACAGAGTTTCCACGATGCAGATAACTGAATAAAACACACAGAAGCAATAAATATGAAGTATGGGCTTTTTTCACCATGGGTTCTAGTGATGGTATTAGCCAGGACACACACATATCTGATCTGGGCTCATGTGACTTGGTCTCTTGGTTCTTACACAAGTAAGCCCCTCTTGGCTGTCCTCTTCAATTTCTAGCCAGTTCTTTAACTGTTTTGTCTACTCATGAGTAAGTCTTTCCCTGAGGTTGACTTGGTTGAGCATCCTTCTCAGCAGATTTGAGAATGAGAGGTTTTGGAAGATCAGGGGTTGAGAGGCAGCGAGCGTACTGCTGGTTCAAAACAAGGTGACCTTGGTGGGGCATGGACACCATTGCAAGGAGTTCAAGAAGCCTCTGAAATAATCTAACTATCCTGTGGGCAAGACAAGTGAGCACCCTGGTGGGAATCAGAAACATTCCCAACTACATGGAACAAACCCTTCCCTTTAAGACAAGGAACTCATGGCTTTTGCCCTCTTCATGGGGTGAGTGCTTATCAGGTGGGAAGATGGTACACAGTTCAAATAAAACAAAAAGCCCTAATGTGTACTATCTTTTTAAAATTTTATTTTATTTTATTTATTCATGAGAGACACAGAAAGAGGCAGAGACACAGACAGAGGGAGAAGCAGGCTCCACATAGGGAGCCTGACGCGGGACTCAATCTCGGGTCTCCAGGATCAGGCCCTGGGCCGAAGGCAGCGCCAAACCGCTGAGCCACCCGGGCTGCCCACTTTTTTTTAAATCTCTTTTTAAAAAAAGATTTTATTTTTAAGTAATCTCCATACCTTTTTTTGTTGTTAAAAATTTTATTCATTCATTCATGAGAACACAGAGAGGCAGAGACACAAGCAGAGGGAGAAGCAGGCTCTCTGCAAGAGAGCCTGATGTGGCACTCGATCCCTGAACTCTGAGATCACGATCTGAGCCAAAGGCAGATGCTCAACTGCTGAGCCACCCAGGCGTCCCGTAATCTCCATACCTAACATGGGGCTTGAATTTACAACCCTGAGATCAAGAGTCACATGCTCCACCAAATGAGCCAGCCAGGTGCCCCTCCACCCCCCAAATGTGTACTATTTTAAACACTTGTTTTCATTACCTTTCCTTGGATGCCAGGTCAGAAACTGGGCAGTGCACAGAAGAAAGTGGTAACGTCATGTGTGCATCACTTTGACACGTGGGGCTTTCTGAGGCAGGTTTTGTGCTAGCAAATTCAATAACGTATTTCAGCATGTCTGGGAGTGGAAACCGAGCTGGGCCTGAGCCGTACTTCACATACCTAAGAGGCAAAGACAGTGGTGCTCTATTGGCCAAGTGCATCTAGTACTTTGCGGCTTGCTGACAAAAGATCTCTTACTGTGTAGAAAAGACTTATTCCTAAAGGCTGTGCAGTATTTGATGCGTCAGTCTGCAAAGTGAGAATTCTCTAAGTACAAATGTTAAAACTGGGAATGATCTACATGTTTACATCTGGGAGAAAACATTTCAAACGGGCTCCTGCTTGAAGCCGTGTCTGCTACGCTTTCTCTTGATGTTGCATCACATCCAGGCTCTGGGCATAATAAAAGTAAATTCTTTGTCTTAAAGGAAAACAGATATATTAGCAGTACTCATATCTGAAAATAATGTTGGTGAACTGGTACCCAAGGCTTTATAACCAAGGCTCCCCTTAAGGCTCCTACTTGGAAATTAGAAACTAGGAACAATGAAAAAAAGCTGGAAATGTAAAGGTGTTAATAAAGATCAGAGTTTAAGAAAACTGGCAAATCTTTCTTCTGCAGGGTCCTCAGTACCCTCTTATTCATGCATTCAACAGCATAGGCCAGCCATAAATTATTGACTGTTTCTTTGGGATTAAATAAATAATAAATATTTTTAACATGTAACCAAAATAATTAACAAATTATTTTAATGCTATCCAATATTCTGGCATTACCAGGACGAGTGAGACTCAAACAAAATATGTACTTTGATGAACTCTGTAATGACAGCAATTAAATAGTACTGGGTGACTGGCTGGTACAGGTAAACACTATCATTATAGAGTTCCATTAGAGAGGGAGAGGGAGGCACTGCATATTTTTCTTCCCCATATAAAGTGAAAGAAACAGGTATAGGACTGGGAAGAAAGAAAGTTGTGTCCATATCAAAAAGGACATTATGAAATGAAAATACCAGTGGGAAATAAAAGAATATTATTCAAAGTCAACCACATGGTTAGAGGGTAGGGAGCAAAGAAGACATTTCATCCTCACTAATTTGAAGGGGAAGTAAAAGTAAGCAGCTGCCTGCTGTGGAGGGTTGCGGCTTTTACTGAAAAGGACATCAAATATGTAACTAAGAAAACTGTACTACTCCTTAGATGTATTTTCTTGTCTTTATTTCAGCTACTACTGGCTTATTGAACTCTACTTACCCTTCAAGATCTAGTTTCTTCATCTCCCAGCTCTGAACTTCTAAAGACAGGACCTGAACCTTGTGTATCTATACCACAGACATGGTTAATAGGTCTTCAGAAACACAGTGTTTGTGGAAAGCAATTACTTTACACATGACTGGCTTGGACCAAAGGAAAACATTTTCTTACTAGAAATGCAGCACAGATGTAATAGGTGATAGGATTTTAAGCCATCATTTTACACTGTAACTCTTCCCAAGTTTGCTGTATTTTAATATGATACTTATACAAAACTTCAGGAAAAATATTTCTCTAAGAAACTTATCTTCAATTTCCTGACATAATCATTGTTCTGTTCTACTGAATGAATTCCTTTAAACCCACTACTTCATACAATGCAGCATCTGTATTCAGTTAGTAGAATCAGAGCAAAAGTTTCAAAAAAGGTGTTTACACTATATGCATGACATCTTATTTTTCACATTACATCAAGGTATCTTACAGAAGAAATGGTGAACTTTTTGCTTAATGATGAAAGTAATGCAACACACCTGGTATGAAAAGGCAAATACAAAAGAGTGTAAAATAAATCATAAAAGTCACCCACTCCCATCTCAATTCTACTTCCTACTGGCATCCACTAACAGTTTCTGTATATTTTCCCAGGAGCAAGTCACTCTTAGAGACAAGTGATTTTTTTTTTTAATTACCCAAATAAAATTATCTGAGATTTTATTTATTATTTTTTTTAAGATTTTATTTATTTATTCATGACAGACACACAGAGAGAGAGGCAGAGACACAGGCAGAGGGCAGAGGGAGAAGCAGGCTCCATGCAGGGAGCCCGACGTGGGATTCGATCCTGAGTCTCCAGGATCACACCCCGGGCTGAAGGCGGCCCTAAACTACTGGGCCACCAGGGCTGCCCCTAAAGGTATCTGAGATTTTAACATTTCTTTTTTTTTTAAATTTTTATTTATTTATGATAGTCACACAGAATGAGAGAGAGAGGCAGAGACATAGGCAGAGGGAGAAGCAGGCTCCATGCACCGGGAGCCTGACGTGGGATTCGATCCCGGGTCTCCAGGATCGCGCCCTGGGCCAAAGGCAGGCGCTAAACCGCTGCGCCACCCAGGGATCCCGGTATCTGAGATTTTAAAAGTCATATTATTTATTTATTTTAAAGATTCTACTTTATTTTTTTAGCAATCTCTATCCTCAACATGGGACTTGAAACTACAACCCTGAGATCAAGAGTCACATGCTTTACTGACAGAGCTAGTCAGGTGTCCTTAAAAGTCATTTTTTTTCCTGAAATAACATCATAGTACAGAAAATGCTCCTATACTTACTTTAAAATCGAAGTAAGTCAGAATGCCCTGCTGGTTACTGGTAAGTTGAGTTTTTGTATGTTATAATGCATCAGGTATATTTGGTGCTATAAAAACAATTATAATCTTATAAAGCATCACTAAAACCTTAAAAGTAAAATATAGCTGCAAATCAAGTCCTGTAAATCACTTAGAGGATGGTATTTGAGGATTCAATCCTCAGCTTAAGTCTATATAAGACAATGAGAGAACTCATCACCGAACACCTTGGATAAGTTCTCCCTAAGAGAGGATGCTGGAGATGGGGACTTACGGGTGCAGAGTCTACCTTGGGCTGGTATGGAAAGTGTTGCCTCTTAGGGAAGTAAGTGACCTAGCAATGGAGTGAGTAGAACTGGGGTGGTGGTGACAGCAAAACTGTGGGGTAGCTAAAGGAGGAAAAAAACACCATTGACATTATATGGGATTTCCTTCTAAATGCCAAATCAATGGGATAGATAGATAGAAAGAAATTACATTGACTCCTCTTCCTTAGGAAGTCATGGGGTGATTCCAAAGAAATAATCAGTGGCAAACAAATCAACAAAAAAGGGGGAGATTTCCCTCCATGAGAGAGAAGACTTTGTGCCAGAACTGTTAGCCCTTGGAATCACTTAGCACCTGCTCCAGGTAGAACAGCACTTTCTGTTTGTGTTTTTATCTCTTCCAGATCCTTAAGAAAACATTTTCCCAAGACAGAGGGCCTGAAGTATGGTGACAGTTACCTCTCTTGTGTTTGTGAGGAAGATGACGAGGGAAATAGAAAAAGTAAAGGGCTATGAACTCAGAAGCTGAGCTCCCATCGTGTATGTCAGGGACTGACTCCGTGCCTCTGCATCCCACCAGTCCTTGGGACTACTATTCACCTATGGATACTACAGCTCGTCTTATAAGTGGCTTCATGCTTAGAGAATAAGTTTTCTTAGCTATTTTGTGTATATAAAATTGTGTGTATATGTGTAATGTGTGTATAAAAACACACTCATTAATACTTAAAAAACTCTAAACCAATTTTTAAATTTAAGCAAATTATCCAATTTTAACGCTCTACTCTCTCCTTCACATTTCTAAGCACAAAGATGTCACGACTTACCTTTCCAGTTTTTGCTGCAGAACTTTTATTTCCTCCTTCAACTTTCGAATACACTCTCTCTTACTTCGAATAAGCTCTTTGCTCTTGTACATGTACCTAAGCAAATGATAACACCACAAACACAATTTATATTTAAAAGCATTAATGGCACACGGTGCCAGCAAATCAGAGATACAAGGGAACTTCTTCAAACAGACAAAGAGCATCTATGAAAATGTATAGCTAAGATCATACTTAATGGTAAAAGATTGAAAGCTTTCCCCCTAAGACCAGGAACAATGCAAGGATGTCCACTCTTATCTCTTCTACTGTTTTACTGGAGGCATGGCCAGTGTGAGGAAGGAAGGAAGAAAAGAAAGGAGAAGGGGAGGGAGAGGAGAGAGGAGAGAGGGAGAGGGAGAGGGGGAGAGAGAGAGAGAGAGAGAGAGAGAGAGGGAGGGAGGGAGGATGAGACAGGGAGGGAAGGAGGAAAAGGGAAGGCATACAAATAGCAAAGGAAAAAGTAAAACTGCCTTTCATTGCAGATGACATAATCATTTACACAGAAAGTACCAAAGAATTTACAAAAATGCATCAGAACTAGTAAGGGAGTTTAGTAAAGTCAAAAGATATAAAGTCAATTAAAAAAGAAGGGGGGTGGAAATCTAAAGCTGGATTTTTTAGAAACCATTGTAACATCAAAAGCATGAATTATTTTAGTATAAACTTACTTAGATGTATGTTAAGACCTGTACACTAAAAATTAAGAAACACTGTTGAGAGAAATTAACGATTTAAATAAATGGAGCTATACCATGTTCATGGATTAAAGAACTCAAAATAATTAAGACATCAGTTTCCTCAAATTCATCTATACATTCAACATAATGCCAATCAAAATCCCACTGGTGAAAAAAAAAATCCCACTAGTGGGCACCTGAGTGGCTCAGTGGTTGAGCATCTGCCTTTGGCTCAGGTTGTGATCCCAGGGTCCCGTCATTGGGCTCCCCATTGGGAGCCTCCTTTTCCCCCTGCCTATGTCTCTGCCTCTCTTTCTGTGTCTCTCATCAATCAATAAATAAAATCTTTAAAAAAAAAATCCCACTAGTTACTAGGGAGTAACTGACAAGCTAACTCTAATACTTACCTAGAAATGCAAAGGACTAAAGTAGCCAAAACAATTTTGAAAGAAAAAAAAGGGGGGGGGGCAAAGTTGGAGGATTTACATGATCTGATGCCAAAATTTACAGTAAAGTCACAGTAATCAAGACAATGGGTCACTGGTCTAAGATTAGACACAACAGATAAAACAGACTCTAGAAATAGACCCACAACTACATGCTCAATTCATTTCTGACAAAAGTACCAAGGTAATTCAATGGGGGAAAGGATAACTGGACATCCACATGCTTCCTTTCCTTGCCCTCCAAAAAACAAAAGCCCTTCTCTCATATTATATATAAAAATAAACTCTAAATGGGTCATAGACATGAATATAATAGTTAAAACTAAGTCATTTCTAGGGGAAAAAAAAGAAGAAAATCTTTGTGACCTTGGGTTGGCAAAGATCTCTTAGAACACAAAAACACAAACTGTAAAAGAGAAACTGATAAATTAGACTTCATAAAAACTAAAAACTCCTGGTCTCCTAAAGACAGTGGTAAAAAAATGGAAGAGACAGCATAGGCAGGGATTATGTGGATCTGTCTCCAAAATCTGTAAAAGAACCCACTCTTACAACTCAGTATGAACACAACCCACTCAATTAAAGAATGGACAAAACATCTGAAAAGATGCTTCACCAAAGAAAATATACAAACAACTGTTAATTAAGCATGCAAAAAGAAACTCGGCAACTCAGCATTGTTAGTTATCAGGGAAATGTATGTCAAGAGAAAAATAAGATATTCCTAACAAACCCACTACAATGGCTAAAATTTAAAAGCCTGACAATTCCAATTATGGGCAGATCTGGAACAAACAGAACTCTCACACACTGTCAGTGGGAATGCAAAATCATACAGTTTTAGAAAACAGCTTTGAAATTTTTTATACAATTAAACATGCACTTTTCATACAACCTAGCAATCTCACTCCTAGGTGTTTTACCCAGAAGTACTAAAAACCACACCAACACTTTGGGGGTGAATGTTCATAGTAGCTTTCTTCATAAACTAAAACTGGATACATCCAAAATGTCTATCAACAACTGGTGAATGGAAAAAATATTGGAATACTACTACAGTGGGATACTACTCAATATGGATGAATCCCAAAAACATTATTCTCAATGTAAGAAGATACACTGCTGTGTAAGAAGATATAGCCACAACAGGGTGTATTCTGAATAGTAACGTCACTATTGTGACATTCTAGAAATGGCAAAACTATAGAGCCAGAAAACAAGTGGTTGCTAGAGCCTAGGGGTGAAAAGAGATTGACTGCAAGGAGCATGAGGAAACTTTCTGGGGGAAGGAAATGTGCTATATCCAACTGCCTTGGTGGTTATTTGACTATATACATTTGTCAAAACTCATTGGTTCTACACCTAAACAATGATAATATTGCTTTGTGTATAAACTATACGTCAATAAACCGGACTTTAAAAAGAATAAAAATGTACAATATAAGTCTAAGTAGTTGTGTTTTGTTTTGGTTTTTTTTTCCCCTAGGAATACAAATAGCATTGAGATTAGAAAGAAATACACTGTGGCTACTCCACATACTGTTCTTCGCCCTAGAAGGAACAGGGCTTTCATCTGAAGCCTACCTACTCAAGTTGTGGTCCCGAGATCAAATGTATCATTTGCGCATCACCTCAAGAGCCTCTCAGAAATAGCAACAACTCTTGGGCCCCAACCTAGATCCAATGAATCCAGTGACTCTATATTTGCGATTATCAAGACCTCTAGATGATTCCTATGCACAATACACTAGTAAATGCTCCCCCTTCTTCTTCTGTAATACATTAAGAAGACAATAACAGAACTCACCTGTCCATATAAATGATCTGAGGAAACTCCAGCTTATTGTGAATTTTCTCTGGCTGACCAAGGGACTGATTGAACTCGAATCTTGAGAGTTCAAAGGTCAACACTGGAGGTAGCTTTGTGAACCAACGCTGTGTCAGAAGCAGAAATATAAAAGAAGTTATTTTTAGGAAATAGCAAAAGCCACATTTAAAACATCCCTCATCAAACTTTCTTCTTCTCATATAGAATTTATATTCAAATCAAATTCACCCTACAGGTTTATTTATCCCAAATATTAAAATGACCACTTAGAATCATGCCCTCTTAGAAAATGTGGTTAAACATTCCTCAAGACTTCAAATTTATGAGCCAGTCAACAACATTTTACTCAACTATCATCCTCGGAAATAAGTGCCCTTAAATAGGTGAAATTGCACCAAGAATCTACACCACTTACTCACTAAGTCATCAGTATTCAAAAGAGGGTCAAAGCCTAGAAGATATCAGCTAGCCTAACCGAAGAATCAGAAAGTAGGACCTTAGCAGCATATATATACCTAAGGAGTCAATTATCTCCACGAATCAGCTCAGAGAATATGTTGAGTATATATGTGTGAACATATATACTATTTACAGTCTATTAACCATAATTTGAATCCCCTTTATTTCTAAAACAAGAAACTTGAAATAGCCTCATGATTATGAGTGCTCAAGTTTCTGAGAAAATCTTTGATTTTTAAGACTTTACAATATCTCAGGAGGGACCTGGTCAAATCAACCCAGGGTGTGATTTTGAGCTTCAAGAAAAGAAAGCACTGACTTATAAAAAAATATCTCAACTGCTCCTGACCACAGATATGGAAGAGCTAAACCAGGAGAGGCATTTCTGTTCAATTCACCTGTATGCCAGCAGTCTGCAAGAACAGCTTTGAGACACTCACTCTACCAAAGGTTTAAACAGCTAAGTTCCCTTCTCTTGTTGGCATGAGGTGAATCCAGACAGCCTGTCTGACTACCTCGGGGTAAATCTACATAAGCATAATGATTTTCTTTCTTTCTTTCTTTTTTTAAAATAGCATTCCCTTTCTTGAATAAAGGTCTCCAGGTCTAAGGAGCTGGTGAACATCCCTTCTCTTTTGTAAGAGCATGCCTCAGCTGTGTCCAGGCAGGACTGACATTATGCCCCCCAAGCAGGTGTTAGGGGAAGCAGTAGCTCTCTCCTAGTGCTCGCGCTGCCCTGAACTCATGCCCTCGACAACGCTCACATCAATCAGGAAAAGCTCTGCTTTCTCCTATAGTAATGACTGAGTCAGACTCCCATAAGCCCACAGTTTTATTTCAAAATATATGAAAGGAGATCAAGCCAAGCTGTATGCTATTATCCACAGTTATGCTCCAAATTCACTCATCCCTAACCCAACTGGAATTCTCAGGCATTAGTTTCTCTTGCTCTCCCCCTCTAACTTTCCCCTTTTCTTTCCAACCCACAAAAATAAATGAATATTAAATTTGAAAAATTTTTAAAGCAAAGGCAGAATTTACTATGAAGAACAGTAAATATTATAATAGGGAAAATATTCTAAATGGCATACCATAGGAGTTAATCACTGTACTTTTACCCTCCGAAAATATGGAGGCAGTGGGTTCTCCCTACTGGTACAGGTAGGCTTCAACAGAAAAAGAGAAACTTGATCATACTTAAAACATCAGAAGCAGCATACAACCTTTATATGATTAACTCAAATTCATACTTTCAGTAAAGAATTTATTTACTAAACACTCAGGCTGACTAATAAATATCAACTCACAAGAGACTTCAGGCTAGTTCGACATCTGGTAAGCGTACAGTTATTTAATATCTGATGGGAAGACAGTTTGCCAAAAAGCCTCAGCCCTACTTAACTGGCTCTGTCACTGGCACAGCAAATAAAAAAAAATATTCAACTTACCTCTTGTCCATACGTCACCGAATGATCGGAAGGAAGCAGCTCAATGTCACCCTCCACCATGGCCCCTTCCAAACATTCGTCTAAGTTGCGATAACCATTTACCTGAAGGGGATACTGGCCGAAGGTCTCATTGTTACAAAAGGGCTTTCCTAGGCAAAGAAACAGATTGCTTTTTAAAAGACCTCACTAGTATTATCTAAAGACTTTTTTTCTGGCACCACACAGACAGTATCTTCCTAATTTAGCAACTCGCTGAGAAGCTTTAGAAGTGTCCTTCAGCCTGTATGGCAACTTCCAATGAATGGTGGGTCTAGGCATTGACCATAAATAACTGCTACTGTCATAAAGGAAAGACCAGCAGACATTACGTGCCTCCTGATCAAAGACTACCCCACCTCTTGCGAATTAGTCTTGCCAAGGAAAGCCTTACCTGAATCTGGTCAAACTCTAGATCCAACTACCAATTTATAAAAAGAGAGGTAGAGAGGAACGTGTTAAACTATATCATAGATGTGCAAGCGGCGAAATTTCAGACTGTGGGGAATCTCAGAGAACAATCTGGTTTCTTAAGAAATCCATTTCAAGGGAGAAAGAGACTGGGGGCATAGCGCAGAGATTTTGATAAGAGACTTAAAAGACCAAGATTTTGATGAGACTTAAAAATCAACTAAATATAAATGATCCACATTTGGATCCTGAATAAAATAAATTGTAAAAAATAACACATCACACCCCCCCGCCCCGTATATAAAATTATAAAACAACTTGGATACCTGAACACTGACTAGATATTTGATTTTTTTTTAAATTTTATTTATTTATTTATTTATGATAGTCACAGAGAGAGAGAGAGAGAGAGAGAGACACAGAGACAGAGACAGAGACACAGGCAGAGAGAGAAGCAGGCTCCATGCACCGGGAGCCCGACGTGGGATTCAATCCCGGGTCTCCAGGATCGCGCCCTGGGCCAAAGGCAGGCGCTAAACCGCTGCGCCACCCAGGGATCCCTAGATATTTGATATTAAGTGCTATTTTTTTTTGGAGTGAATAGTGGTATTGGGTTGTTATACAGAGAATATCAGAAGCATAAGAGGAAAAAGGAGTTTGGGGATGTCTGGTCATGGACTAATGGTTGCTGAGTTCATGGGGGTTTTTAGAATGCTCTATCTGGATGATAAAAATTCTCCATTGTGAAAAAAAATTTACAATTACACATGCAGCTTTGATAAGTCTCTAAAATAGAGAAAGATCTTTGACAGTCTAACTCATCAAAACCTTTTGAGATTAAATATTAAATTGGGGGACAACTGGGTGGCTCAGCGGTTGAGCGTCTGCCTTTAGCTCAAGGCATGATCCCAGAGTCCCGGGATCAAGTCCCACATCAGGCTTTTTGCATGGAGCCTGCTTCTTCCTCTGCCTATGTCTCTGCCTCTCTCTCTTTGTGTCTCTCATGAATAAATAAAATCTTAAAAAAAAAGTTTAAAAAAATAAATAAAATAAATAAATACTACATTGGAAGAAACAACACAGAAAATTGAGTAGCATCACCAGGTCTGACATTAATACTAGGTTTGGGCTGTGCAAAGTATACAATTTAATTAACAACTCTGAGATAAAAACACTATGCCCATTTTATAGATGAACAGACTGAGGATCCAAGCATTCACACAGTTTGTCCATGTTACACACATACTAAGAGGTAGAGCCATACCCGTAAATGCCTGACTCAAAAGCCTTTTCGACGAATACAGATAGTCACACAAGTCTAGAACTAACATTTACAGCAGAGAATTTACCTTCACGAACCCCTTCAGTGAGGAAAGTACCGTAGAATAGCTGCACCATTGGATTTTCAGATTTGTTCCTGGGATTGCTGCTTTTAAGAAAAGGAAAACAGTTCTCTATCATTTGGATCAGATAAGCACTACACGAAACCTAACCAACATTCAAAAGCAAAAATAGTACATTTTCATCAACCTCCAAAGAGCCAAGTATGGTCCAAAAAGTAACAGGTTAACTCAGTTTAAATACTCATTGAGCAAATATATAGGCATGAGAGCTGGCTGTGAGGAGCTGAAAGTCTAACGGGAGAGTCCTACATGCAGAGAAATACTTGTATCTGTATACATTCAACAAACGCATCTACACCCAGTGACAGATGTATATAAATTCTAGAATAGGACAGAAGCAACAAGAATTCACCCTCTTTGCACAGTTCTGCAAATAAACAGAAGTTTTCCCAGTAGTACAACAGAAATGGACAAGCCCACCTTAACATCTTAACATGTGTATTTCTTTTATTTAGAGTTAAAACGATTTAGAAAATTTCTCGCCATCTACATTCAAAAGGGGATTCTTTGAATATTCTTTGCCCTGAATTTCACTTCTGAAGTTCATTTCAGTGACTGCAACGATTAAAGTTGATTAACCCGTCTTACACCGCCACGTTCACATCTAGGATTGGTTCGACCTTTTAACACATTGGGTAGCACAGGCTATGATTTTACAAAGTTCAGGGTTATGGCCCTTTCAGTAAAAGGTGGCAGGTTAAGATGATTATCTGCATCTTCAGGGAGAAAAACTAAAGGCAAGGAGGATAAAAAAATGACAAGTATCTGAATGGTTACCCCCTTGAAGTTTGGCAAAAACCAGCAATTCCTACTTGAGAAGAGTAGTTGCCCTCCCTCCTTGAATTCTCATTGGACCACTGTGAGTAGAAAGGCTATACAAAAAAAAAAAAAAAATCCTCAACACTCACTGAACATTAACAGCTAGCTGGAATGCGTCCTCTAGCCAATCCAGGAGCTTGTGTGTGAATTCACTCACATCTTGCTACAAGAGAGGCACAAATTGCATAAGAGTTAGACCCAGTACCATACTTAGGGACACAAAAATCTGCCCTAATCCTACCAATGATTAAGATTCTATTACTATTGAAGGATTTATTAAGGACAAGCAGCATGAAGAGACAAAGGAACACCGGAAGCCAGCTAACTGCAGAGACGAGCAGCCACTGACCAGCATGTGGCTACGAGGAGATTGGAACACCACCAATTCCAGCCACGTCTATTTGTAAGAACACACAAAATCTTCTAGGTAGGCCTTAAAAAAAATAAAAAATAAAAATAAAAAAATTTTTTAAAAAGGTCGGGAGAACAGAGCCTAGTGCTGTAGAACAGGAGGAGGTCAGAATGGAGAAAGGACACTTTGATGAAACATTTTGAGTGTTCGATAGAACTGTAGGACCTTTGGATAATCAAAGGGAAAACTAAATTTTATGAAGAAGGTGCTCCTCCAATGGTGATGGCTGTGTTTTCTAACAGAAGATAGAGAAAGGCAATTACTAATGTCTAGGAGAGAGAAATAGCTCAGAACAGCTGCTCAACTCAGGGTCTAGATGATGCTGCAAATGGGATTTTTATCTGGGCCGTTCTGAGGCGCAGGGGGAGTCACAGGGCTTTACTTTTGTCAGCAACCCTTTGCTCTGATTCACCGAGGTTATCTTCTGACCTCCTCCTCTCTACTCCAACAGCCCCAGTCTGCTTCCCATCCCGTGTAGTCACGTTCAGAGCTGATCCGGAGCCACATTACTTGGATAGCAACAAGGTGTGACTTCAAACTTCACAGACTTTGAGGGAAACATGGGGATAACAGGCTTTTCGTACCTGCTGTTCCTCAGGTGATCGGAATGCTCCCTTTAAGAGATCCAGGGCTGCTGAAGGGTCTACAAATTTGCGATTTGATCCCATCATCAGAGCAAACAAGTACTGCAGCTCTTGCATAAACACGATATTTCTCTTTTCCTGTGGAGAAGATGGCAATGTGTGCTCTCACAACCCCCCATGTAGGAAATCAGAACGCATGAAAGAGAAAAGTTGTAAGAGATCCCTCCCTGACATTTACCTAGCTCTAGGTCAGTCAGGACACAGACTACCCCACAGGCCCTCTGATCCGGTCTGTGGAGGGGATTACCTTAACTGAAATATCCATGTGGAAGCCAGGAGGGGAGTGCTGTTGGAAAGGCAAAATGCTTATTTTCTGAAGCTGCCCTCCCTCGCATTAGGAAAATGCATCCCCAAAGTGAGATCCTGGCGAGGGTTGGATCGCTGGCAGGAAGCCATGTCCTGTGGCGAGAGCTGAACGACCACAGGCTCTTCTAGAAGGGTCCAGGCCTCCAGCATTGGGTCACCCACTTTGCAACCCACACCTGAGCGGGAGGGAAAGGAAAGGACACTACACGAACATTCTGTGACTTAGAATTTCTGAATCTCCTGCCCAGAGGCAGAAGAGCTGAGGCTGTCAGATGACTTGCCACTTTCTGGGAACTGTTCTCATTTTATTCCTACTTCATTTTCATTTCATGTTACAAAGAAGGAAAAAAGCCATCTGGAAATGAAAACAAATACTAGCACAAGCCAGAGGACATCACAGCTATCAGTGTGGGCCAGAACTTAAAAGCCTTTGGGATGAGAGGGACCAAACACGAGTGAGGACTTCTCCACACCAACTTACTGTGTGACTTGGACAGTTTTCAAGAACATTCTGTGGCAGACTGTAGCTGAGAACAAGTCTTCGAAATTCAGGCAGTTGAAAGAGAGACTGAAATAAACAAAGAGATTCATAGCCTTGCTTTCAAGATAACTGCAGCAGAAAGATCTTTTACCTTGAAAGTGCATGTGACTATCACCTGCTATTTCTACCACTGCGACATCTGAGGGAATGATGGCTATGTGTACAAACTGAGCCAACGGAATAGTAATTCTTTAAGGAAAAAACCAGAAACATCACGGGTAACAGGAGGGATGGATTAAACAAGGTAAAGTTCATGTACACAATAGATCGTTATATAGTCATTAAAATAACGTTCCAGAAAAAAATATTTTCCTAAAATGAACTAGTACACAGCTGTGAAAGTGAATGCCCAAGAGCTTTAGGATCAACATGGAGAAATCTCAGAGCTATATCCTGTGTGTTGAGGGATGCGTACAGCTATGGTCTTATCTGTGGGGAAGGGAGGCTGTGACTGGAATGGGGACAGCAAGGCCTGGAGAGCACAGGGAACCCACCATTTATTTCTAAAGCTGGGTGCTGAGTGCAGCAATGTGGGCTACTCTCCACTCTTTGTCACAAGAACTGCATTAAAAAAAATTCAGTAGCAGTAATCTCTGGCTTATTTATAAAGCATACGTAATCCTACTATGAATATCTTCTGAAGATTAATGTTTGTAAAAATCCCTTGTATGAATAGAACTCCGCATCCCAACACACTCCTCAGACGAAAACCCCTCAGGAAAGACCCAGATGAACCACTCTGGAATGAACGTCCTGGGGAGACAACAGCCTCTGGCTTCCCTCCCACTCCCCCAGCGAGGCGGGGATTCAACCAGCAGGGTGAGCACACAACTGGGTGGTGCCTTTAGGATCAGGTCACATTGTTCCATCAACGTGCTACCTGGAGCCAGGGCGAGACTGCTCTGCTCTCGACTTGATCTGCTCTCTCCTCTTCCCACCTCACCTGTGCCCTCCCACGTGGGGCCACTCTCACTCTGCTGACGTGGCCCTGACTCTTCCCAGAACTTCTGCTCTGCCATGGGAAAACGGGCTTCACATTTCCAAGTCACTCCTCTCTACCTCCTCTCCTCGCCCAAATCTGGATTTCCCCAAAGACACCGCCATTCTTAAAAACCCTCCAAGTGTGAGCTGATTACATTTCCCAATCCAGTATCCACATGACACTCTGGCATCTGCTTCTTCTCCTGTGTCACTTAATTCTATCCCCCTCCTCCACTCATCAAAGTTCAGAACTTCAGAAGAATCTTCGAATCCCCTCTCTTTCTTAACCATGCACATCCAAGGAGAAAGAAGTCACCTGGACTCTGGGGTGCTCCTTAGAACCACCTCCTCCTACTGTCCCTATCAAGTGCCCTCATGGGTCTCCCCTCACTGCTCACCTGGCTCACTGCACAGGGTCTCTCTGCCTCCAGGACCTCCCCTGTACCACTTCACCTGCCACACAGGTTCCTCTGTCTTCCTAACAGGACTGAAATAAAGCTCCTGATTCACTGACACCTGCCATAGGTTAACAGCTCTTCTTCCTTCCCCAAGTCCTGTCTGTACCCAACCCAACAGGACACCCTGTTAGCTCTGCCCTCTGAATAAATCAAGAATGCACTTCCATGGCTACTGGCTAGGTCCAGGCCAGCGTCACCTGCCCCATGGACAAGTGTGGCAGCCCCCTGCAACATTCACTCCACCTGTCCCTCACCCCCTGCCCCCGTTCTGCACTCCTCACAGCAGCCACAGCGAGCCTTTTAAGACACAAGTCAGAGTCACTCCTCTGCTCAGAGCCTGCAGTGACTCCCCAGCCTCACCTCCAGTGACTCTTCCCTCTGCTCCTAGCATCCCAGCCGCTCGAGCCTCCCGGATGCCCCAGGAGCACACCAAGCCTGCTCCGACCTTGGGGCCCGTGCTCTCGGGTTTCCCTCACCTGGAATGTTCTCCCCCAGAAGCTGCCGGCCTCCCTCCCTCACCTCTTACATATCTGGCACCTGCTCCAACCTCATCCTCCTGGTCAAGGAGGCCTAACCTACCTTGCTGCACCCTGCTCCAATCTCTCCTGCAGCAATTCTGCTTTGCCTTAACCTGCTCCTACTTCTATCACACCAATTGCAACCTAACATGTTATATACATTTAGCTGCTTAATTAACTAGTTACTTCTGCAGTTTACTGCTCCTTGTCAGTCTTGCTTCACAAAAATTTAAGTTCCATAAAGGCAAGGCCCTGTCTTGGTTCTATTCATTCCTTTATCTTAAGGGCTTAGAATAGAGCTGGACATACAGTGAGTGTTCAACTGATATTTGGTGAAGGAACACAAGCACTTCCAGCCCGCGGACCCCTTGGCTACGCAAGCATCTTCTCTCTAGTGAGGCAGTCCTCTATTCCATCTCTACACCGGTATCTAAGGTCACACCCAGGATATGTCAATTCCTGAGACTTGGCCAATTCTCAGACCTCAAATTCAAAAACTCTGCTCTTGAATCATAACCTATCCTCTGGCATTACTGACCCAAGCACCCCCAGGACATCTGTTCTGTAACTTCATCAAGGACCCAAGCAAAAGGACGCTTCCTGTTCTCCCAAATCACTAGTCCTTCCTGTCTTCATTCCTCTCTCTCTCTCTCTCTCTCTCTAGCTTTGATTCCATGGTCTTTAACCATACTTCATTTCATTAACTCCTCAGACTTTCATCAAACCCAGGAAATTTAGGAAAACCTAAATTAAGTTTCATTTTCCACTGAAGAGTCTCAGAGTGCTGCTAAGAAGTCCTGAGGAAAACATGTCCTACTGACATCGCTATGCATCTAAGGTCAACACACTCAAGTAGACATGCAGATTCTAGAAATCCCACTATTGTATCCTGGTGCCAACGGGTTTCCCACTGACCATGGCAAGCCTCCTTTAACTTCCGAGTCCATCCTTTCTCCATGGCTTCAGAAAGTGGCTGCTCAGGTCACAAAGATGATGACTTTAAAGTACCTCAACTGTAGTCTGCAGCCCTCATCTTCCTTCCCCCCTCCCCTACCACTCTCCTGCCCCTTTCCTACTCAGGGCCAAGCCCTCGCTCTGGGCTTTACATGCCCTCTGCCCAGGCTCACTCAAGAATCTTGCTCAGTGGTGACCTCTGTTCCTTTCAACATGCCCACAAGTGTGAAGGTTGAGGAGGCTGTGAATGCAGGTAAGGTGCTCAACCTCTCTACTCACCCCACAAAAGGAATGACCGATGTCTCTAATTCCACATTCCTTTTGTCGTGCTATTCACAACACAAACACCAGTCATCTTTAAATAGTAGTGGCATCATCTCGCTTCTCTGCTCTAAACCTTCCAATACTTTCCTACCTCATGTACAAATCTTAAGTCCCCATCATGACCCCCAGCACCCCCTCACCTCCACTACCTTTTTGATATCGTCACTGTCTGTTCCCCACACCCTTGAGCACTCAGTCCTGTCTTCTTCCTATTTCTCAATACGTTAAGCAAGTTCTTGAACCTGGGTCTTTGTACTTGCTCTTCCCTCTGTCTGCAGGGTCCTTTCTGTAATTAGAAGATGCATTCCCTCACCTCCTCAGGCCTCTGCGCAAACACCCATCTGATCAGAAAGGCCTCCTTCTCCGTCCAGCTTCTCTACCCTCACTCATGTTTATGGCACTTCTCACCACCTGATACATATTTTACTCTCTGTCCCATTCTTTTCAAAGGAAGCTCTAATAGAGCAATGGCTCTGATTTATTCATGCTGTTCCCTCAGTGCAAACACAGTGCCAGGCACAGTCAGCTGAATGAGTCCAGATCTGACGTGTGGAAGGGGAGGTCTCTGTTTCTGGCTGAGCAGCTGGGTAGATGTCAAGTGCCGTGAAGGACAAGACTGGAGGGGCAGGATTATCTGCTGCTCTGTGGCCATGTTAAGTTTAAAGGCACCTGGGAGTTATTTCTAGAAACTCTCTCTAGGGCATTTCGTCCACTCCCTTGGCTTTATCACCATCTATATACTATTGATTCCCAGAGCTGCATCTATAGTCCAGTTCTTATTACCAAACTACAGATTCATGTAGTTAACTGCCTACATGTTTCTTCACGTGACACTCTGAAGGCAGCACAGGTAAAACTGAAATGATATCCCACTCTTCACGCACACCCAAACATTCCTCTTCTGGCCTCAAACAGTACTATCACCCACCTGGTTCCTCAAACTAGAAACCCTGGAGTCTTTCTCAACTCTCAACCCTATATCCAACTGCCCCACCAAATCCTGTAGATCTGATGTCCTACCTAACTCTAGAATGCTTGTATTTCTCTCCTTCCATGGCTACACACTTCTCTGTTGCAAGCCACCATCATTTCCTGCCTGGATATTTCTGACCGCTTCCCAGCCAATGCTTTTTCCTTACAAACTCTTGCTTGCTCTGCTGCAACATGTGATTCAATAAATGCTGATCCAAAACACCTATTCACCATTTTTACAACTACAGGATAGTCTGTTTTTAGTATTGCCCAATTTGGACACCAGAGCATCTAAATCCAAACACAGGAAATCAACCAAAACACAATAATATCATGAAGAAAATAAAACACCCCAGTCTTACATATCTGTTTTCATTTTTTTAAGATATGTTTCTCATATTTCAGTTTAATAAATTACAAAGTTGTTTCTGGAAGACACAGTTGTCTCTTAAAAATATCATACCTGAGGGGCACCTGGATGGCTCAGTCAGTTAAGCATCTGCCTTTGGCTCAAGTCATGATCTCAGGGTCCTGGGATGGAGCCCCGAGTTGGACTCTGCTCAGCAGGGAGTCTGCTTCTCCCTCTCCATCTACCCCTTCCTCCCATTTGTGCTCTCTCTTTCAAATAAATAAAATTTTTAAAGAAAAAAAAATCATACCTGTATAACAGCACTAAACCAACACGTATTGCCAATATTCTTCAGCCCAACTGGCCACCCATCAACTCTCCTCCAGTCATTAGGATTGGGATTTTCTCCCCAGACTTCACAGCGTTTTCTCTTGGAGCGTTTAGTTTCTGCAGAGGCTGCCTCGTGCATCCTGTATGATGTATTATATGTGGAGAATGTTGGTAATCTTTCATAGATAATTCAAAATGCCAGATAAACTATTTGCTGACTGGGCTGCATCATTGCTGGCTATACAGTAACTATAAAATTATAATGCAAGTGAAAAGTAAGGTTTAGACATAGATGTTAATCCTTCCATCAGAAATTACTACTTATAAGGCCCATGATGGAAGCGAGCTGATGCTCAAGACTATTTACAGCTACTGTATTGAAAGTTTTAGATTTCAGCAATAGTGCCTGATCTCAGATCTTGCCACTGAGAGAGGCAAGAGAGACACTCAACTAAAGATAAGAGCCTTTAAACTGCCTAGCACACAAAACCTGGCCTTATGTTTCCCTGAAAGAACAACTCTCTGGTGTGAGGGAATAAACATGTCCGGAAACTGACAGGCCACCACTGGAACTGGATGTTTATGAGCAATACCAGACAATCACCAAATTGGCACCAATTCAAAAAAGATATCCTTGGTCACTCCTGAGACAGGGTAGTTGAGTGATAACTTTGATTTTCAAAGAGCTGACAACACGACCCTTGAAGTTTACAAAGGCTCTGGGTTTATAAAGGGAATATATAATGTTAGATGCTTGCACCAGGATGGGGTTTCTACCTCTAGCAATTGTAAACTACAAAAGCTTACAGACTTCTATTCAAAGACTCCCAGCTACTGTAAGACCCTTATCATGTTTGGCTTTGCCAAAAAGTAAACCCAAGAGTAAGTAGCCTAATGTGAACTTAAATTATCCTCTAAAAGAAATTTCATTTGGATGCAAATAAAAGAGGTCAGCAGAATGGTCCCTCAGTGGCATCCACAGCTCTTAACCCTTCTACCTACATGCTAATGCGGGGAGCTAATGACAAATTATAACAATAACCTGTTCAGATCTCTCCCATCAGCTTGAATTTTGGGGGATTCCAGTAGACTTAAAGCAATGGCAGCCTGAAGATCATCTTTGTTATCATGAGTAAGGTCTATCACTTCTGTAAGATAAATAGAAATTTAATTAGTCTACATGTAGGCACCAATGCCCTTCTGGCTATATGGTAGGAAAAAAGGCAAAAGCATTCACAAAACCTGATATGCTCCCTAGCTCTCACTACAGTGGCTCATCTGTGGAACAACTTTATCACTCTATGTCAAAGTCACATGTGTAACTCACAGTTATATGGCAAACTTAAGATGAGCCAATAAGCTGTGAAAATGCAATGAATACCCACTTCTGCAGTCTTATTCCTGTATCTTGCAGGTTAAGTTGTCTCTTTACCTGTCATCATAAAATGTCAGCTAAGCATTGAACATTCAAGGTACAGATATTTTCAATCTCACACAAACTATTTTAGAGGATAGAGGACATACTCCTCAATTCATTTTATGTAGCCTGCATAACACCTATCCCAAACCAGCCAAGAATAATAAGAGAAAGGAGAAACAACAAACTCACACACAATCACAGATGTAAAAAGAGAAACATGGTATTAGCCAATAAAATCCAATAATGTACCTCAAAAATCAGATATTAAGACCAAGTTGAGTTCACTGCAGAATGCAATACTGAGTTAACATGAGAAAACAGACCAGCAGGATATGCTTAGAGGAATCATCACCCTTACCAGATACAGAAAAAGTATTTAATAACAACATTCACCCACTATTCAGGAATAAAAACCCAAGCCAACTGAAAAGAAAAGAGAATATTCTTAGGCTTAGAAAAAGTAGCCATGAAAAGCTCACAGCAAACTTTATACTTAACTGTGAAAGGTAAAACCAAAGGTAAAACCACTTAAATCCAAGACTGTGGAGATCCCTGGGTGGCTCAGCGGCTGACCGCCTGCCTTCGGCCCAGGGCCTAATCCTGGAGTCCCAGGATCGAGTCCCCATCGGGCTCTCTGCATGGAGCCTGCTTCTCCCTCTGCCACACACTCTCTCTCTCTCTCTCTCTCATGAATAAATAAATAAAATCTTTTCTAAATAAAAAATAAAATAAAACCAAGACTGAGACAAAAATGTCTACCATCATGACTTTTATTCAGCAGGGTTCTGAATGTTCTGGCTAGTTCAATAAGAAAATAAAAGAAACTAGGGGCGCCTAGGTGGCTTAGTCACTTAAGCGTCCGACTCTTGGTTTTTGCTCAGGTCATGATCTTAAGGTCGTGGTATCAGGCCCTGCATCAAGCTCTGTGCTCTTCTCCCTCTGCCTCTACCCCTCCGTTGTCTCTCTCTCAAATAAATAAATAAAACTTAAAAAAATATAGAGAAGGATCAGAAAATAAGAAAAACAGCTGTCATAACTCACAGATAATAATCACCTATGAAGGAAACCCAAAATAATCTACAGAAAATAGCTATAAATAATAAGAGGTGATGAGCTAAAAGATCAATGTACAAAAGTTAAGTGAATTTCTACATATGAGCAATGAAGAATATTTAATTTAAAAAGGAAAAAAACAGGGGATCCCTGGGTGGCGCAGCGGTTTGGCACCTGCCTTTGGCCCAGGGCGTGATCCTGGAGACCCGGGATCGAATCCCACATCGGGCTCCTGGTGCATGGAGCCTGCTTCTCCCTCTGCCTATGTCTCTGCCTCTCTCTCTGTGACTATCATAAATAAATAAAAATTAAAAAAAAAAAAAAAAGGAAAAAAACAAAGAACACAAAACTGCAGTAATCAAGAGTGTATGCTTCTGGCATTAGAACAGGCATATAGATCAATGGAAAAAAAGAACTAGGAGTCCAGAAATAAACCCTCCTATTTATGGTCAATTGATATTTTTTTTAAATGTACACAATCTGCCCACTACGGAGTCCAATGCAGAGCTTGAACTCACCATCCTGAGATCAACACCTGAGCTGAGATCAGATGCTCAATTGACTGAGCCACACAGGTGCCCCAATGGCCAATTTATTTTTTGACACAGGTGCCAAGACAATTCCACGGGGAAAAAATATCTCCTCAACAAATGGCACTGGGACAACTGGATAGTCACATGCAAAATAGTGACTTTTAACTCCTACCTCCCACCCTTTACAAAGATGAACTCAAAGTGAAACAGGCCCTCAATATCAACTCTTAAAAGAAAACAGAGGTGCAAATTTTCATGATCTTGGATTACACAATGGTGTCTTAGAAATGATGACGACAGCCAAAGGCTGTCACTAATATTAATATTATAATATAATATATACACATATATAATACCTTATATTATATAATATAATTATAATTATAATATAACTGATAATATTCTGAACACACTAACAATTTTAAAGACATAAAAAGAGGGCAATGGGATGGAACTTGCTTCTTCGATATGACAAAACAGACTACACGCAACACTATCTGTAACACAGTCATGCCAATTAAGCATCTAAATCTATAGGAAAGACAAGGGACAGGAAAAGCCATTGAAAAATAAAACAGGAAAAGATTTTACATTGGCAATGGATAAACAACCATAGAAAAATAGATAAATTTGACATCATCAATATGAAAAACATTTAGGCTTCAAAGGACACCATCAAAAAAGTGAAAAGACAACTCACAGAATTTTTATAAATCATGTATCTGCTAAGACACCTATATATGGAATATGCTTTAAAAACTCCTGCAACACAATAAAAAAATAAATAGCCCAATATTAAAAATGGGCAAAGAATCTGAATAGATATTTCTCCAAAGAAGATATACAAATGGCCAATAAATACATGTAAAGATGCTCAACATCATTAGCCATTAAGGAAATGCAAATCAAAGCCACAATCAGATATCAGTCTGCACCCATTATGATGGCTACTATCAAAAACAAAAAACAAAACAGGAAAAGTAACAAACGTTGATAAGGATTTGGAGAAACTAGAACCCTTGTGTGTTGTTGACTACAAAATGGTACAACTGCTATGGAAGTTTGAAGAACTGAGTTTGGCAGTCCTTCAAAATGATAAACATACAAAGCTTCAGGACACTGGACTTAGCAATGATTTCTTGGATATGAAACCAAAAGCCCCAGAACAAAAACAAAAACGGACAAATGGGACTAAATCAAACTTAAAAAAAATTTTTTTATGCATGAAAGGTTATAGCCAATAGAATAAAAAAGCAACCTACAGAATGGGAGAAAATATTTGCCCATCAAATAGCTGATGAAAGGATTAATGTCTAGAATATATAAATAACTCCTACAACTCAGTAACAACAACAAAATAATAAAATAACCCAATTAAAAAATAGGTAAAGGACTTGAATAGATGTTTCTCCAAAGATAACATACAAATGGCCACCAAGCAGATGGAAAGATGTTCAATATCACTAATCATCAAAGAAACTGCAAATCAAAGCCACAATGAGGTATCACCTCAAACTCATCAGGATGACTATTAAAAAAAAAAATCAAAAAACACTATACCAAATAACTAGTGTTGGTGAAGATGTGGTGAAACTCTGGAATGCTTGTGCACCACTGGTGAGATTGTAAAATGGTGCGGCAACTGCTCTGGAAAACAGTACTGAGGTTTGTCAAAGAAATAAAAATAGAGCCACCACATGAACCAACAATGTCACTCCTGGGTATGCATCCAAAAGAAATGAAAGCAGGGTCTCAAAGAGGTATTTACACACCCATGTTCACAGAAGCACTATTTCAAACAGCCAAGTAGTGAAAACAGCCCAAATACCCACCGATGAATAAATGGGTCAACAAAATGTAGTACATAGATACAAGAGAGTACAATTCAGCCTTAAATAGGAAGGAAATTCTGACGTGCTACAATATGAACCTCGAGGACATCATGCTGCGTGAAGTAACTAGTCACAAAAGATTCCACTTAAAAGAGGTATTCATTCAGAGTAGTCAAAATCATACAAAGTGAAATGGTGGCTGCCAGGAGCTGAAGGGAAAAAGGAATGAGAAATTACTGTTGAATGGATACAGAATTTAGTTTTGCAAATGAAAAAGTTCTGGAGATAGATTTCAATATGAATATATTTAACACTACTGAACTGTACATTTAAGAATGGCTAAGATGGTAAATTTTATACCATTTGGTTTTTACAACTAAGAAAGAGAATCCCAACCAATAAATTATGAAGTGATGATAGAATATTACCATTTTGAAATCTCCAATAAAATAATCTCAGCAATAAACACCAATGGCTGCAAAAATAGATTTTATAAACAAATATAGCTGATAATATTCTGAACACACTAACAATTTTAAAGACATAAAAAGGGCAATGGGACGGAACTTGCTTCTTCGATATGACAAAATAGAAGATAGACTATACACGCAACACTATCTGTAACACAGTCATGCCAATTAAGCATCTACGTCTATAGGAAAGGCAAGGGACAGGAAAATCCATTGAAAAATAAAACAGGAATGAAATCAGCAAATTTCAGAACATGTAAAATATGACAGAACAAAGGATTTAATTTCTTTGGACCTTAAACTGCAAGAAAAAAGGGGGATTATTGATAAAGAGTCTCTTAAAAGACATTCAAACATATTTAATGCTTTAATGTCATCTGAATCATTATTTTCACAAGCCAACTGCAAACATATTGTTACTGAGACAATCAGGGAGATTTCTACACATTGGCATTTGAGCCAGATTAAGGAATTAATCATTTTTAAAGGGTGACAATGTTGCAGCTATGAAAGTAGTCCTCTTTTAGAAATATTAAAACAAGAAAGTTAAACACAGGACTGTTATATGACCCAGTAATCCCATTCATGGGTACATAACCCAAAGAATTAAAAACAGATACTCATGGTGCCTGGGTGACTCAGATGGTTAAGCACCTGCCTTCGGCTCAGGTCATGGTCCCAGTGTCCTGGGATAGAGTCTGGTTCCCTGCTCAGCAGGAAGGCTGCCTCTCCCGCTCTTTCCCTCTGCCTTTGCCTCTCCCTTGCTTATGGTCTCTCTGATACTCAATGAAATAGAATGGGAAACATGAAAATCCAATGTAACGCATAGCTGATACTACAGATCGTGGTCAAATAAAGCCTTCTTAATAAAAAGCACCAGGATAACTGAGTAGCTGTATGGGAGGGTAAGGGGGATGAGGAATCAAACCGTATCCTTACTATATGCCTTGCCCCCTCCCCCACTTTAAATAAGTTAAAGAATGTGAAAATCAAACCATCACAATTTTAATATCCTATGACTTCAGGGTATAGAAGGAGTTCTTAAAAAACACAAATCACAGAAAAAGACATAAATGTATCTACAATAAAATTTAGCTATTTAGTTATAATTTAGTACATCACCATAGTGTGAAAACACAAGTCACCGATAGGGAAAAGATGTATGCAACACACAAATCCAAAAGAATGGGTTAATATCACATATGTATAAGGCCAGTATCAAGAGATGTATCTTATTATCAGTAAGATAATATCAGGAATCAATTAGAAAAAAGCAAACAAATAGAAAAATTGAGGCAGAAGACACAAAGAAATCTCACAAGGAAACATGAATGGTCAGAAGGAAAAAGATGCTCAATCTCATTACCAATGTAAAAAAAAATTCATTGAAAATTCACAAGACATTTTATATCAAAAATATGGGCAATGATTTTATAGACTAACAAGTTTGAGAGCAATAGCTATTGCCAAATCCTGTTAGTGGGATTGTAATAAATAGTTAAAAGAATCATTTTGGAAAATATTGCCCATAAAATTGAAGACAAGCGTATTTTACTACCCATCAATTACACTCCTAGGTACATACATTAAAGAAGCCCTTGCATACATGTAATAGAAACATGAATCAAATGGCTCACAGCAGCCTTGTTTATAATAGCAATAAATATATTTTAAAAAAAGGGAAACTACCCCAAGTCAATAAACAAATACATAAAATTGTAGCATATTCACCCATAAAATACTACACAGCAGTGAAAGTAGAGGAACTAGTTATAAACTTCAACAGAAATGAGTTTCAAAAAGAAAAATGTATAAATAAAATAAAAAAAAAAAAGGGGTCAGCCCCGGTGGCTCAGTGGTTTAGCACCGCCTTCAGCCTGGGGTGTGATCCTGGAGATCCTGGATTGAGTCCCACGTCAGGCTTCCTGCATGGAGCCTGCTTTTCCCTCTGCCTGTGTCTCTGCCTCTTTCTGTGTGTGTCTGTCATGAATAAATAAATAAAATTTAAAAAAAAATTGCCTTTAAAAAAAAAAGAAAAGAAAAATGTTGGAATGCCTGGGTGCTTCAGTGGGTTAAGTGTCTGACTTTTGGTTTTGGCTTGGTCACCATCTCAGGGCTGTGAGATGGAGCCCAATGTCGCGCTCCACACTCGCCCAAGAGCTTGCTTGGGATTCCCTGTCTCCCTCTCCCTCTGCCCCTCCCCCCTCTCTAAAATAAACTTTAAAACTCTTTAAAAACGAAAAATGTTGACTGAAAAGAATCACTATTTGCACTGAAATATATATACAAGGGTACTCTTAGCAGCATTATTCAGAGTAGCTCAAAACTGCAAAAAGTCCAATTATCCATCAACTCCATCTGCCCTAGCTGATGGCTCCTTCCTCCTGGAAGTCTCCTTGGCTTTCAGAGTCCCATTCTCTCAGCTCTTCCAGCTCTCCTGGTCTTTCTCTGACCTCCCTGGACACTGTCCACACTCTCCACCTGCCTCGGCCCCTGATCACTGGGAGTGTCCAAGGATTAGTCACTGAACCCATTCCCTCCCATGCACCCCCCAAAAGCTCACCGGGTCTCCTTCCCATCCCAGTCACAGGTTTATGATTCCAAGTCTCCTCTCTCTGCAGCCGGATCTCTCCCCTGAGCTGCATGCTTGGATCCCCACTGCCTTTCCGACACTCCACCTGATGTCTGGCAGGTGCCTCAAACTCAGCATTTTTTTCATCTGCCACCCATCTGCTCTAGTGGCAGTCATTCCCAGGGTGCTTAGTATAACTCCAGCATTTTCATTGCTTAGGAAAAAAACCCTGCAGCTATCTTTAAGTCCTCTCTTTCTCATGCCCCTTATCTCCACAGTAAGCACAGCCCCTTCAGCAGGTGCCCCTCACCATCCCCACTACTACCCCCCGGCCCATGCCGCCAGAACCCGCAAAACCTCCTGACTGTCTGGGGCTCCCTGCTCTGACCCATGTTCATGACCTCACCCCTGCAGTTATGTTCTGAACAGAGCTGTCAGAATGACCTTTAGGAAATGGAAACCAGTGGACATTGTTCCTCTGCTCCAAGATCTCCACTGGCTAGCCTCTAGCTAAAGGGAAAGCCAAATGTGCATGAAGGCTCTGCAGGCCATGCCTCCTGGTCCCTCCACAGCCTCACCTCTTACCCACTAAAGCCTAAGCTCTGGCCTCCTTGCTGTCCTTGAGCAGATGGTGTATATATCAGTCTTAGGACCTCACTGATTCACTCTCTCATCTCCCTTGTATCTTCTCAGAAGGCCCCACCTGGTAAAAATCCAATTACTGGTGCTCCTTTTTTCATTTCTTCCATTCCATCCTCTACTTTTCTCTATGGTATTCGTCATTTTTATAAGCTATATAACTTACCGACTTGTTGATCCCTTCTGTGAGAAAATAAGCTACGTGAAAACTGGGGTTCTTATGCTTCTGTTTATTTCCAGTGCCATACAGAGTGCTTAGCACATAGTAGGTACTCGTTAAATAAATGCAGAATGAATGAATGAATGAATCCATGTAATTGCTTAGCACTGTGCCTAACAGATAATGATGGTCCAATAATTAGCTATTATTAACATTATTCTGAAAGAGTTGATGTATTGATAGGAAATACACATATTTTCTGCTAGTTCAGAGCAGGACTAAGACAGCATATACCTACTTGCTAATACTTCTTTGTTGGCAGCACTCCCCTCTACTTCAGATGGTTCTGTAGCAACCGTGTCCTGACTGGGCTCTTTAACTCTTTCCTCAGTGAGAAGGCTGACGGCTTGGGTGATGTCACCATTACTGGCCTAAAGAAAGGGAAAAAACAGAAATTTCAAAAGTAAAGCACCACAGCATTTAAAATAAATGGTGAGTTTGTTTTTTGGTTTAACTCCTTACTACCCGAGTGACTGAGTATGTCAGGGCGTAATTCTAGGGTAGAAAGTCGAAGAAAGACAGTATGGTGTTGGATAGTGAGTGTACCATGCTCAAAGCATATATCAAACTCCTGGTTACAAGAGGGTTGTTGCTGCGCTCTGATTTCCCACAACAAGCAAACAAGAATGAAATCTTGCTGGAGATTTGTTCTCACCGCTCTGGATGCTACTACTGCCAATTTCACAGACTAGCTAAGGCATGATGTGTCGAAAGCAGGTCGGCAATGAAAACAGAGATTTAAATGAAGTCAGCCTCTTCAATAAACATGCCAAGCAATTACCATATTCCAGGGTGGTGACTGTATTTCTATTTGTTTTTAACTTTTAATAGGACAGGGACGCCTGGGTGGCTCAGTGGTTGAGCATCTGCCTTCGGCTCAGGTCATGATCCCAGAGTCCTGGGATTGAGTCCCACATTGGGATCCCTGCAGGGAGCCAGCTTCTCCCTCTGCCTGTGTCTCTGCCTCTGTGTCTCTCATGAATAAATAAATAAAATCTTAAAAAAAAAAACAAAACCCAAAACTTTGTATTAGGACAACCTTCTAACATATACAATGGTAGAGGCAGAGGGAATGTCTAACTGAACTCCAGGCACCCATCACTTGGCTTCAACAATTATCAAGTTATGATTAGTCTGGTTTTAACTATTCTATTCTGTTTAACCTCTCTCTGACATTTTTTTTTCTCTCTCAGACATTTTGAAGCAAATCCTAAGCATCTCATCAGTACATCAGAATGTACCTTTTCAAAAACATAACCCACAATGCTATTACCACACTTCAACAGTGTTTTAATATCAAATCACCAGCTCAAATTTGCCTAACTCAAAGATTTTTTTTAGCGTGTTTGAGTCAGGATCCACATAAAGGCTACAATGTAATTGGCTGATATATTTCTTAAATCTCTTCTGACCTGTGGGGTCCCCCCAAGTTGAGTCTCCCACCCCCAACTTCCCCCAAACCTTATAATTGACATATTGAAGATACTGGGTCATCTGTCCTGTAGAGCTTCTGTTCCTATATGCACTTTCATTTTGGCATAAAAATAGCTTGCCCTGACAGAACTATGATATTGGACAACTGTTTTAAAGCCTGTTGGCTAACAGCGGCCTTGAAACTAACCTTCAGAGCTTCATGAAGAAAGGAGGGGTCCTGAATGCCTGTGATTTCTCTTAGTTGGTTTAACAGCATTTGGCAGCTCTGTATTTGAGAAACAAACAAACAAACAAAAAAAAAAAAACCACACACAGGTCAGTCAGAAAGCAAACCTGGATACATTTAAAGAATTTTAGTACAAGCCACCTGGCTAATCAGGCCTAAGACTTGAGTATTTTATTTTAAGGAACTGACGAGCTCCAAACAAGAAGGTACTGTCAGACACATTCTAAAATGCCAAATCTTGGAGTGCCTGAGTGGTTCGGTCCATAGAGGATCTGGCTCTTGGTTTCAGCTTGGGTCACAATCTCAGGGTTGTGGGAATGAGCCCCACATTGGGCTCCACACTCGGTACAGTCTGCTTGGGATTCTCTCTCCTTCTCTCATCCCCAACCCCCTATCCCTGGTTGTGTGCTCTCTCAAACAAAAAATAAATAAAATCTTTTAAAAATAAATAAATAAAATGCCAAATCTATTACTCTTTTAATAGCTTAATCATGAGGGACACCTGGGTGGCTCAGTGGTTGACCATCTGCCTTTGGCTCAGGTCGTGATCCCAGTTCCCTGGGATGGAGTCCTGCATCAGGCTCCCGGCAAGGAGCCTGCTTCTCCCTCTGCCTATGTCTCTGCCACTTATGAATAAATAAATAAATAATCTTTAAAAAACAAATAAAAGCTTAATCATAAAAAAATGCTTTTGGAACCTGTGGAAAAAATATGAATAAACAATAAAACTAGCAAGTATATAAAATATTTAAATGTAATATTTAGCCCTTGTAGTAGCTGAAAGTGCCTGAGGTTTTTTTCTTTCTGAGTAACACATAACTAGGTCATATAAGGAGTCCAGGGAATTTGCATGGATGTGAAGATGTACTATTTTAAGCTTCACTGCACATGCCATTTTTGTGTGTCATTTTTCACTGACAATAAATTTCTAATCACATAATTAACAAATGATACCACCGACATCATATTTAAAACCACAGGTTTGATTGCTTAAAAAGCATGGACAAAACTAAGATTTTCTGAATTATACTAAAAATTCCCGAAGGAATAAAAAATGGAATACTTTCTCTTCGTTAATCTGAATCATGGAAAAACCTATCTTGTTAACTTTCAGCTACCATAAGATCAGTGTATAAGCCCTTTGCAGCTCTCAAGTCTTTAGTGGAACATTTCCATCGTGTTTTGCACAGAACACCTGTTTTTTTTTTTTTTTACAAGCAAGCTCAATGTAAATATAAAAAATTGGCTGGCCCAATTCTTTTAGATGATTATTGAAAACAAAATAATTCAGGGGGCGCCTGGTGGCTCAGTGGGTTACACATCTGCCTTTGGCTCAGGTCATGATCTTGGGGTCCTGGGATCGATCCTGGAGTTGGGCTCCCTGCTTTGTAGGGAGCCTGCTTCTCCCTCTCCCTCTGCTGCAACCCCTGCTTATGCTCTCTCTCTCTCTCAATTATTTTTTAAAAAAGAAAAATAGTTCAAGTTTGAGAGGAAATCAAATTTATAAACATGCCTAAGGTTATTCTAGAATTAAGCTCCAATTCAATCCTTGATGCTTCTCATCAACTACCTTTCAGTGAGTGATACACAGTCCATGTTCACTGTCAGCTGTAACAGAAATAGGATCCTATGTTTTTCAACAGCTGAGGGCCCAATGCAACACTTAAATATCACACAACAAGAAATAAATAACTGAAACAGCCCTGCACAGTGCTCAGAAAAGCATCAACAGCCTTTCTGCTCTAGTCATGGGCCATGGTCACAGGCTAGAAATGGAAGCCGACTCTGCTGAGACCAGCAGTCTTGGAGGGTAGAGTCTTGTCAAAGGGAGTCATTGCCTACACACTGGGAGAGCTCTCACACTAAAAAGTGTCCAGATTTAGCCTGAGCAAATGCTGGAAACTAAGCAGGGCATTTTTAGAAAAATAATGTATTAAAAAGTTTTTTGGGGGGCACCCAGTTGGCTCAGACAGTTAAACATCCAACTCCTGATTTCAGCTCAGTTTATCATCTCAGGGTCCTGAGATCGAACTCCAAGTCAGGCTCCCTGCTCAGCATGGAGTCTGCTTGAGATTCTCCCCCTCCCTCTGGCTCTCCTCCTGCATGTGCATGTACTCTCTCTAAAAATAATAAAAATAAAACTTTAAAAAATAAATACGATTTTTCTTCCAAACGAATTCTAATTCCATTTTATTGTGTAAAAGTGTGTGAATCTATATTAATCTCAATCATACACTATTGTCCAAAAAATCATAATCAAGGGGCACCTGGGTGGCTCAGCAGTTGAGTGTCTGCTTTTGGCTCTGGTCGTGATCCCGGGGTCCTAAGATCGAGTTCCGCATTGGGCTCTCTGCAGGGAGCCTGCTTCTGCCTACATCTCTGCCTCTCTGTGTCTCTCATGAATAAATAAAATCTTTTTAAAAAATCAAAACTAATATGCCCCCAAAAGGGTGGGATGATATAGACCTTCCTCAACTTATGATGGGTCACATGCCAGTAAACCCATTGTAAGTTGAAAATATCATTAAGTGGAAAATCCACTTAATACACCTAACCCAGCCTACCTAGCTGACCTTAGATGACTCAGAACACTGAACATCAGCCTGCAGTGGAAGAAAAATCATCTAACACAAAGCCTATTTAATAATAAAGCATCGAGTTTGTCATGTGGTATATTGAATACTGTCCTAAAAGTGAAAACCAGAATGGTTGTAGGGGTGCAGAAGTGTTGGCAGTGTATTACTGGTCATTGACCCCCAAGACAGCATGGCTGTGTGCCCTGCCCAGCGTCTCCAGAGAGGAGCATATCACACAGCGCTGCTAGCCTGAGAAAAGATCAAAATTCTAAATGCAAAGTATGGTTTCTACTTCTGTACCATTGTAGAGTAGATCTATCATAAGTCAGGGACTGTCAATACTTGGGAGAAGCAAGTGAGTAGCATTATTAACCTAAATGGAACCAGTGAGGTAGCAATGGGATTGATAACCATACCTTCACATCTCAAACTACTCTGGGTACTGACCCCTAGGGTTCATAGAAAATAATTCCAGTCCAAAATGGCAGCTAACATACACTGCTTACTTTCAGCCAGGTGCTGTTAAAAATGCTTCGTCTGTATTAACTAAGTTAACTAACTTCCCCTTTGTAACAAGACTGGGATAGGTGCTAAGCCCGTGTAACACAGAACAGGCATGGGGAGGTCCCGTACACAAGATTATCACTAGTTAAGGGCTGGAACTGGGATCTGACTCTAGGCCCCTGGGCTCCAGAGTCTACATGCTACTCTATGCCCAGCTGTATCTGAGAAGACAGAAAAATAGGCAAGAGCTTCTATTTAATGCAAAACCAGGTAATGATTTTATTCCTGTATTTTGACCTTGGTCTCTGCATCTTCCCAAGCTCCCTATGATCAACAATCACGGCTTTGATAACACAATAGTACAATCAGTTCTAAAGCAGCTACCACCAGGAAAGTACTGCCTCTGAAGTAAATGCTATTTCTGAATGAATCTAAGGGGCCATCAGTTATAAGGAGCACACTTATCTATTGTGCCACTAAGGAGAAAAACTGTGGCCACTTAAAACTAGGACATGAGGCCTTCATGATGGTCCTAGGAGACACATGAAGTGGTCACACCAGCTTCCTGCAGCTCTACAATTCATTTATGTTGAGAAATATAGCAGTTTCCTCTGCTCCCAGGGACACTGCCCAGCACATGACAGGCAATTCTTTTGCATGTTTCTCAGTAACAAAACTAATATACCTAGGCTATTTTCCGTTCTTAGGTCACATTAAACACTTGATTGTAGCTTTGCACGAAAATCTGACACTGTGCTCATTCCTCCAGGGACAGATATTTTGCCTCAGGTAAAATCAAATTTATACCCTGCTGTTCTGCTTCTATGCCTTTCTTCACCCAGTTTTTTTTTTCCCCACCTAAATGTTAAATCACAGTATGATCTTTTAAATTGAAAAGTAAACTAACCATGTGGTACCAACGGTACCTGTAACTCACCTGTCATGACAGTAGGAACAGCTATGACCAAGCCCATACACATGCAGACAATGATTAAGTATATCATATCTGCTGCTGGCAGGTAGTAAATGGAAGGAATGTCTCCATTTCAGAGATCTCAGAATGCCAAATAAAAGTAAATCAATGAAATACAGTATTCAACTGTTAAACAATTCACCAATCCTTATATTTGGCTGTGGATTAAAGCTCCACTCCCCTTTCTCCACTTTGTAATAGATAAACAGTGGAACATTAATACATCTAGAATAATACACGCGGAAAGAAAATAAACTTTTGGTTTCCCTTTTTTAAAAGTACTACTAGGCACAGATGACAACTATGTAAAATCATTTTGCACGACTCTAAGAATAATACTCTACATGTTAATTCAGATCCAAATCTCAGATCCTGCTATTGGAAAACCATTATCTGATTCTACCCTTAACCCGCTGAACCTTTTCTCCTACTCATTTCCTTACCTCACGAATGCACCCACTCTCATGCTGTCAGGCGTTCCTTCTATTACCTCCAAAAATGCCTCCTACATTCTGGAAACCCAGTCAAAGGCTTTATTCATCCTACCTCCCCTTTAAAGTCATCCCCAAGAACTCTGGTTCCCACTCTTCTCTCTCTTTCTAATCTCCCATGAAGGAGGGGACTTCACCATCTCTACCTGATATTTCTCATCGTGTGGTCCTCTAAATGTTTCAAACGGGAAATTCTTGCCCATGTAAAAGGCAAGAATCATACAACATCCTACTTAATTTGAAGGACAGTGATGGCAACAGTTGGGACGAGCATACAAACACCTTCTCTGTGTCAGGGACCTTAGGTGCCCTGCATACCTGTAATCCTTGTACGAACCCAAAACGGTAGGAATCATCCTCTTCATTGTGCAGACCAGGAAACCAGAGTTTACAAAACTTATTTTGTCATCAAATGTCTTAAAAGACAAATCAGGGACACCTGGGTGGCTCAGTCAGTTAAGCATAGATGCTTTTTTTTCCCCCAAAGAGTTTATT